TGCTGTTTGGTGGCTCGCGCTTCGAGAAGGCTTTGAAGGCAAACAATTCTGACTTCTTATTTTTTGCATTTGGATGAGGTGGAGGACAAGCATCACAGGCCAATCGACAGATGCTGCACAAGGGGGGCGCAGGGGGCCAGGCCAGAATTCCACGAGTAACGGGGCGGGTTCAAGCTCTGGCACGTACGGAGGTGTGAGGGTTAAATAATCTGCAGTGGGGAGGTCACTCGTGAAGCGAGGGCAGGAGCCAGGGGTATGCACTAGCCAATCGATTAAAACGCGTGTGGGCGGATTCGAATTGGTGCTGCGATTGATGTTGAAAAAGAAATGTAGGCTAGGCCTTATTTGGTAAGGGCTGAACATGGGGTGCTTTTGGCGCTACCTCGAAAATGGCGATTTTTTTCGCCTCCTATCTCCGTAAGAACGGGACGCAGGCCACGGACCGCGGCCCTGACGCGACGGCGTGATGGCGCGCGCCCCACAACGCGTCAAAACGCGTCGACGCCTTGCAAGTTCAAGGCCCGTGACTGCAGACACTTTAAACATGCCCACTCTGCGCCCGGGGTGTTGCGTTTTCCACGGCAACCTCAAGCGAAGAACTCCATCGCACTTGAGGAACTCCCAGGCAACCACTTCCTCTCGAGAATTGCGACATCCAACGATCATCGGAATCGTCCCGAGCAAGCACGACGGGAATCGTTCATCACTTGTAACTACCTACCTGTTACTCTCTTCGATCCCCGAGAAACACCAACTTTGTACCTTCCTGTCCACCATCCAAGATGCCAGGTGCGATCACCAAGCGGACACGGTCCAGCAAGACCAAGGTCGTCCCGGCCTCGACCAAGAAGGGAGCCGCCATTCTCGCCAGCTTCGCCCGCGTTTCCAAGCCACAGTCAGCCCTGCCCAAAGACCTCGCCTCCAAGACCGCCCCTTCCAAGCCGGCCAAAGTCGAGACCATCGAGATCAGGATCGAATGCTCCAAGAAGCGGAAGGCACCGATCCAGGACGAGAACTCCGCCCCCGGCAACGACGACTCGCAGCCGCAACAGCCGCTGGCGGCACCGCGGAGCACCAAGCGCCGCCAGCTCGGCACCCTTCAGAACAACGTCCAGCGGCCGCAGACGCCTAGGTCGGCAGAAGGCTCGGCCGACCTCTTCGGCACCCTCGAGCGCCTCAAGCTCCAGTCCTCGCCGTCCGCCAGACGCACCGCCGCCGCCCCGACCCCTGCGTCAGGGCTCCCACGGGAACTGCTGGACCTGATCAACCTACACGCCGCCTTCACAAAGGCCCTCTCCATCCACCACGTGCACAACGGCACCGCCGCCCCCGTCGACGTGAGCGAGCTCTGCCCCAGCATCACGCAGGGATGGGGCAAGCGCAAGGTCGTGCTCGAGGACGTCCGGCGGTGCATCGGCGTCCTGACGGCGCCAGCACCATCACCATCATCCACATCAAGAACCCCGAGCAAGTCTCCAGCACCAACAACCCAACCTGACGTGCCATACTTCCTCACCGACTACGGCCGAGGAAAGATCTGCATCGAGCTCCACCCCCAGGCCCCCGCCATCCTGAACGAGGCCCGCCTCAACAAGACCTTCGAGGCCGGCCTCGAGCGGCTCTGGGCGGCGCGGACGGGCCCGTCGGCCTCGGACGTCGGGCGCTTCGTCGCGGCCCTGCCGCGGGCGCCCCTGGCCGCGTGCGAGTCGAGGGCCAAGGCCTCGGCCGTCCGCACGAAGGGCCAGCTCACGCTCGAGGAGCTGAAGCAGCACGTGCAGCTCAAGAAGCAGGCTGAGGCGGAGCGCAAGGCGGCCCTGGCCGCCGCCGCCGCTGGAGCCGCCGTCGCCCCGCAGCCCACAAACGCAGACGGCTCCAAGATGAGCCTCATCGACCGCATCCGGTACAAGGAGGCGCTCAAGTCGCGGCAGGGGCCCGCGCCGACGGCGGAGGAGCTCCAGCGCAAGGCGGCGCTGCAGCGCGTCGGGGACGTGGCCGCCGTCATCTCGATGCTCACCACGGCCACCGCCATGGGCCGGAAGCGCGTCGCCTTCACCATGCCCGCCGTCCTCACCAAGCTCAAGGACTCGCTCCAGGTCCCCATCTCCCGCGAGGAGGGCGCGGCCTGCGTCAGGCTGCTGGCGACCGACGTCGCGCCCGAGTGGCTCAAGGTTGTCGCGATTGGGGGGAGGGATAACGTTGTTGTGTTGCCGGATTTCACGCCGAGCAAGGCTGTCATCCAGGATCGTGTTGCTGTGCTCTCTGGTTGATACGCTTGTTGTATAATATGTAATAGTCAGGGACGAGTTATGAGACGATCAGAAGACATGGGACGATCACAATCGTGATAATCATTTGTTCTATGGCTCTAGCTCTTCCAAAGACCTCTGAAAGACCTCCAAGTGTCTTGGCCATTCTTGTCTCAACTCCAAGACGCCGCAATCAATCGATACCCATGAAACTCTAGGAAACCTCCTCAAACCAGAATCCCCCCACCAAACCGGACACGGCTGGTTGCTTGCTTGATGGGATCGCTGGTCTCCCAGGCGGCTAGGCTTGGGCCTTGGCCGCAATGCTGTGCGCCTCCAGATGACGGGTGAGTTCCTACTTCGACCCGTCGCCAGCAGGCTTCACAATTTTCAGCACCGGCGCGCCAGCAGGCTTCACCATCTTCAGCTTCGGCGCGCCAGTAGGCTTCGCCTCAGTCTTTGACGCGCCATCAACCTTCACTGCCTTCAGCTTCTCGTGGTACTCAAGGATCTGAGCCTCGTTGTCCTTCTGCTTCTTCGATATTTTCCTTGGGCCCCAAGGGCCATTGAGCGTCCAACAGTACTTGAACTCGATGCTGCGGATGGCTCGATAGTCGTGTTCCAAACCGCTCCCAGTCTTTACCCATAGACGGCCGACCAGGGCGGATGCGTCTTGGGCAAGTTTAGACTGGGATAAGCCGAGGGCGTTTATGAGACGCGTGAGATTTTTTTCGAGCTCAACCTTGTTGTCGGACTTTTCGTCCATCACAAAGCGATCGGTGTTTTCGATTTTATAGGCCTTCTGGTGGTTCTGGTTGGTCTGTATTTGTCATGGCCCGATGTCAGAATCGGAGAAGTGTTGGGTGGGGAGTTCGAGGGGAGAGACGTGCAACAGAAAACATACCGCGTTGATGGAGCCCATCTTCTTCGACGCGGTGAGATTGCCTGAGCGAGCAGCCGCGTTCTGCTCGGCCCTGGTCCTCGCCACGACATCGCGGGGGCCGCCGCCGCCGCCGCCGCCGCCGCGGGCCCTGCTCCCGATGACGACGGTGCTGTCCATGTGAGACATTCTGTCCGGTAGATGAGATTCGGTTGTTTGGAGCTCGTTGGATAGCGCGGGTACTGAGGACCGGATTTGATACAATGAGATGATATCGGAGATGGGCTGTTGGGCCTTGATCGGTCTGGGCTAGGTTGGAGGAGGATGGATTCCACCTAAATATTAGCGGATTGAGGAGGGTGGCGTTCTGCTGATACGTGGAAGAGCATGGAACAGGGCGGTCTGTGGAGTCCAGGCGACGTAGTCGGAAAAGCGAGAGGGATTCTGAGTCAATCGGGGAGCAGCCAGTGCCTGTCCGGGCTGCCCAAGGTAATCCTTCCCACCTTGCACTCTGTGGCACGCTCCCTCCTTTACCCTGGCACAGCCACAGCCTCCCCGTGCGTCTTACTGTGGCATTATTTCCGTCGTGCCTTCCAATGGCGGCCGAGGGGTCCGAGGTTCAGCTGAGGCAGGTGCATACCGGCGGGCAGGCGGTGTCTCCGTCTTGGCCCTGCCTGGGCGGTCAACATAGCAAACTGTTTAACTTTTCTTTCCCTTACGATGAGATATTCTTTTCTGGGTTGTTTTTCAAACATTAAAAACGGCACAAGCTGTGAACCAAAAAGAACACAAACTCAGCACGGGTGTCCACGACACCGGAGGATCTGTGCTGATACGGAGGCGATGGAAAATTGCGTGGCCGATACCTAATTTGGAGTCTCCTACCATTGGGTGGTGTGGGCTTGCCGATAAGTTTCTGCATGGGCCATGTGTCCGATGGCCGGATGTGTTCCTGGTCCAACTCTAAACCGGCTTCTGCCCCAGCTGCCCGAGTGGCTTGGAGGCCCATTGAGAGGCCGCTCGATTATGTAACCTCGGAACTGACAGAGCCCAAACTCTCCAGGTCCCAGGATCAGAATTGTGAGCGTGGCGGAATACCTCCATCGCTCTCTTTTGGGTACGGGTAGGGAAAAGATGTGTATATTAATTTAAGAACACTTTTTTACGCCCGAGAACGCTGCTTGCGCAAATTCAAAATGGTAAAGAAAAACCCACGGCACGAGCAGTTCTCATGCTGGGGTTGTTTCATAGCAGGCACCTCTAAAAATATGTGCCACGCTTCGTTCACGTGCTTGGTTCACAGCAGGGTGCACCATACTGCCCTTGAACGGAGGAGAAAGCGTTGTAAACTTGAACTTCCACGTAGCACCAACACCCGATCGCAATTTCTGTCAGTGTGACTCCCTACCAACTGAGCGAAATGACCATTTGAGACGCTATATTATTGCGCAGGATCCTAGCCGTTCAATGGATTTGAACCAAGGGCTACCGGTGCTGGCAAGGAGCGTGGCTAGCACCATAGCCATTGCTTTCCTTGGCCGCTTCGTCGTCTGGCCCTCCCCTGCGTGTACTGGCCTTCTTTTGGGGCTAGTAGCTTGGAAACACAGGACTTTGCTCCCCAGCCCTGTGAGTGCGGTGCTTCCAAGTGCTAGTTGGCTCGCATTGGCCATACTTGGGTCCGTCATCGCCATCTCTGCTATCGGGATCAGCGGGCTTTCTGCCACTCGGGGAGGATGCCCACCTAAGCAGAGCGGGCCAGGCAAACCCCTGCTATTTCCGAGTAGGACAACGCACTCGAGAATATTCCCTAAGAGGCACTCCTTCTCATATTCGTATCTTGTGGTTGGCATCCCTGTGGGCTGGGCAGGGGCATCTGGCGGCTTGATCTCCGCCGATCTACCGCCTTCGCCTAAGTGGCTGTCGTGGCTCTGGCCGGGCACGGGGGTGACCAAAGGGTGGTACCATGTCGATGCTGCGGACTATCTCGAGCGAGGAAATGGTCACTTGGGTCTCCGTGGGAAGCTCGATGCTTACCTCGCGTCTTTGGTGGGTGCAAAACATCTCCCTCATGGCTTGGGTTTGGTCACTGACTTGGTGATGAAGGGAATCGACCCTGGGCTGTATCCCAAAGCCTACCTCCTAACTGCCGCCAAGTTCCTCGGCTACCATTTTAACCCCGTGTCTTTTTGGTATCTCTACGGAGCGAACAACGAGATGGCGGCCATGATTCTGGAAGTCAACAACACCTTCGGCGAAAGGCGAATGTACTTCCTGCTTCCCACGGAACGAGATACCGATCGTCGAATTACGCAGCCGGACGTGGTGGACGGCAAACCTTTAACGAGACTCAAACAGAAATGGCCCAAGGACTTCCATGTGTCGCCATTCAACTCGCGAAAAGGGACGTACACGCTAGATGCCCACGATGTCCTCGCGCCGGGCACGCAGTGTCATGGCAACATCGACATCACCATTGTGCTGCAATCTTCCAAGGCGCACGGCAAACTTGTCGCCAAAATATTTTCCGACGGCCCCAGCATTGATCCCGCCCAGTTGTTCTTGTGGCAACGTATCAACTTTCTAGCCCGGTGGTGGTGGGTGGGGTTTATCACCTTTCCCAGGATAGTCAAGGAAGCGGGCGTGCTCTTCTTCCTGAGGAAGCTCCATGTCTGGTTCCGTCCCGAGCCGCTGAAGGAAACCGTCGGACGCCTGGCCGATAAAATAGAGCGCGACCTGGAGTTCGTCTTCAGGAGGTACTTGCGGCACATTGTGGAACGATCCGAATCGGCCTTGGTCGTCAAGTATATCCCAGGCGGCATCTCCAACGCCACGGCCGAGCTCATGCTCTCACCCTCGGCCGCGCGGTCCGAACATCACGAAACTGAGCACCTCGAGTTCAAGGTCCTGACGCCGGCTTTCTACTCGCGATTTGTTCACTATGCCCACGATCTAGAGGCCTTGTTTTGCGAGCTGCGTGAAAGCAACACCATCTGGCTGTCCAACCCGGAACTCCTCCCCAAGCTGGCACTGCGGAGACCGCCGCCGCCGCTCCAAGCGACGAGCTATGTGGACTTTGTATCATTCAAAGCTCTCCAGAGGCTCCGGCAGCGACCTGAGCGGATTGTACGGCCACTTACCTCCAGCCAGACAATCGCCACAAATGCCTCGGCTCAAGACGTGAGGGGCTTCCGCATCTCCTCCATGGACGCTTTTGTGCTCTCCTACAATGACCCGGATATGAAGGCCGTATATCGAAACTCTACCCTCAGGCTGTTCATCGCAAACAGAACGGCCATGGGCATAGTGCCGCTGCTCGAGGGCCAAATATTCCTGCTACGTCTTGCTACCGCTTGGCTTATCGCACGCTCCTTGAACGCTTTAATTGCGCTGCTATCAAACACAATGACAGCCTGATAATGATCACGGGTGTTTCGGATGGGCAGTTGGTGGATATAGACATCTATGGGGGTGCTTATTCGAGTGATCTGATCGAGGCAGCTATCTTACACAAGTGTCAAGTTTTCCACTTTCCAGCTCCGAACATACTCCCACGTCATCCTTGGCAGCTCGATGATACCCTCTCTTCTGTAGGCGCACGGGTCTCCTCCGTCGCTGTCTGGGACAAGCACGAGTAGTACGAGGTGGAAATAGCCCCAATTATCCACCTCAGGATCCCAGTCTGCATTGAACCGGTACCAATCTTCTCTCTCCCATTCGGCATATGGTTGCGCCGAGTCTTCGGTCCACATCCACAACGATACGTCACTCATCGCAGCCTCCAGAAAGCTGATCGGGCGAGCTTCCTCTTTTACCCCTTCTTTTTCTTTCTTCTCGCAAGTCTCCTGACTTTCCTCGTCGTGGCCCTTCTGCGAACAGGCTTCCGCGTCGTCCTCTGCACTTTCCGTCTCCGTTCCGTCGTAGGCTTCCGCATCTGGCTCACCCCGCGTGGGGGGACGGGCGGTGCTCGGTCCGGCCTTGCAGACGTGGTTTGTGATCGTCGCCACAAAAACAACGAGAAATTCCATTTCCGGGGTCTGAGACAAGCAGAAGCTGGATGGGTCATCGTCACCGAGCACCAGGAAGACATCCTCGCCGTCCAGTGTCGTTCGGAAGATCTCTTCCTCAGGCAGCCTCACATTATCATCCCAATGCATGGAATACGTGCTCCCGACCGATGTTTTGTCTTCTGTTCGGGTCTGCCAGAGGTGCCTTCTGCTCCGGATGAGTCTTTTTGTGTGGCCCCTTACGAAGAGCTTGGCATCTTTGATCTGCCCGTAGGGGTTGCTCGGCTCCGACGGGCATATCTCGTGTCCCAAAACCTCCAAGTCCGGCGACTCGGGGCAGAGACACTTTTCTCTGTAGTGGCCCCGCGGGCCCCCCGTCAGGAAGTCCGCCGGTCCGTCTCTTGAGGCCCAGCTCCAGGTTGGCGCCCGGTAAAACTTTTCCCAGGCGTTGCTGCTGTCCCCACTCCACATCAGACCGTTGTGGATGTCGGTTGACCAGATGCCTGCCAGGTATTCACCACCAAAGAATCGCAGAAAGGTCCTTGCTATTCCTGAAAATGCCGGTAGCTTGTCTTCGCCAAAGGTCAGATCTCGCGACTGGAAGTCCCAGGCCAGCCCGTAGTAATCCCGTTTGAGGTTTCTTCGCATTCTGTCTGACGCCATCGACTCCCAATCGTAGGTAGGATCGTGCAGGGCCAAGAGAAGTATCACATGGTCTGCCGAGGTGTCCAGGAGGGCTCCTGGGAGGGCATCCGCCGAGGCCCAGACGGATACACACTGCCAATAAATCTGTTTCTGCCCGTAGATCAATCTTCTGGGGGAAAGGACTTTTTCCTGTAGAGTCCAGGCCCGAGAGCTCAAGGGTCCGCTAGATTCGATGGAGTCCAAGTTCTCGCTGACCACTTCGTATACATCCGGGTCCATGTATCGATAGGGCTTAATATGCGCTTGCGGATAGACGTTGGGGCCGATCTTGACCACGGTATTGTCCGGCGATGACTTTGGGAATACTCTCATCGTAGTGGAGTTTTCCCGATGCTCGGCCGATGGGTGTCTTCCGTCTCCTTTAGTGTCGGGGGAGCTCGAATATTGGTTGAAGATACCAGCAGCGCTCCCTGGTGAGGCCGAGGCGGAGATGGTCAAGGTTGCGTGACTATATACCTCGGTCATTTTGGCAGACTCGGTTTGCCAATCTTCACTGTCGTCCTGGATGATGCAGAGACAGTCGATCCAGACATAAGGGCAGCCAACCTCGTTGGCTATAATGAGAGTATCTTGGAAGTTTTTTGATAAATCCGAGAATGGGATGTGCTCGAGGAAGTTCGCAAGATTGCTCTTCAGCAATCTTGTCGCAATTTTATCGGGCCCCCAGCAATGTGTGAGAGCTCCGTATTGCCCCTTTGCGCCCTTCGGTGGCTGGACAAGACGAAGGCGGGACCAGTCCGGCTCCAAACCAGTATAGACCAGCCTGGTGGGCAGCTCATAGGTCCGAAGTCCAGGGCAATTCTCGTGGTTTTCGATGCAATTTGTAATCCAACTTCGAGCGATATCGAAATTGAAGTCGGAAGCCAGATCAAAGTCAAGCTCCCGGCGGCCAACTCGAGACTGGTTTTTCCCGAGGAGAACCGAGCCCGGGTTGTCTAGTAAGTCAACATTTATGGCGTGAGCACCTGTCTTTTCGCACACACAGAGACCCCGGCATAGACCGCCTTACCTATGGGAACAGTAATTTCCATTGGCACCGGATCAGCCCTAAACTCCGAGGGGTCGTCGGCCACAGCATCGTGGTGATAATCCGGGTGCTTCTGGCGCCCAAACTGCACATGGAGCAGGTCGAAGGTCATGGTCTCGTCGTCGTCGCTCCTATAGCTTGTGCTCAAACAGATCTTGACGTCGGTGCTGTCTCCCGACTTGCTGCTAGCCTCCACCCATGCGAAATGAGTGCCGTGTTTCCAATCTGGCTCGAATTTGGCGCATGCCACGATAGTCTGGCAAATCTCACAGCCGCCATCAGCAGACTCGACAAGATCCTCGATCGAGGCATGATGCTGGTAGAATGCCTTTTGAGGAAATCTGTGGGGCCATCCGACCTCGTCGATATCCACCAAATCCATCAAAAGGCTGATGGAGAGCCCATCGCAGAAGGCGCAGAGCATCTCGTGCGCTAGGTTGGTCGACGCCGTGTTGAGAATGATGAAAGCAAGGGCTAAGCAGTCTCGGCTGTCCTTCTTTCGACTGACAGCTTTCCTCCATCAGCTCTCCCCATCGTACTACTTGTGCGGGCTTAAAACGCCGCGCACTCTGACGGCCCTCTGGGGGGGCCCGCACAAGTACCCCTCAGGCAGACATGGCATGGCCCGTTCTACCCGAGCACCCTATTGGACCGGTTCCGTCCACGGCTGCCTGTCAATCGCCATCCGATAAACAAAATACACGGGCCGTTGCGCTTTTGGATTGGGCCAGCGTCCCGTCCCCCCATGTCCGGCGCTTAGCCATCCCCGCAGTTGCATCGCCCGTTTGTACTTGTGGCGCCCCGGCCAGCTGCTGAGACACGTCTCCATCCGCGGAGCCAACAACCACGACATGCATGATTAGCTTTCTCCAGTGCTTATGCTGCATTGTGGCTAGGTTCGGCTGCGGAGCTGCGGCACAGCGTTCTTCCTGATATAGTCAGACGAGAGCTTGTCCGCGTGAAACCTTGCCGGCGGGGATCGCAAAGATAACAATCCGGTAGATACTGTTAGCTACGCTTCAAAGCTCAACTGCAAGGGCAAATTCGTCGATGGATATAAGGAGATGTATGTGGGAGGATACTAGCCCGGAAGTGGGCTCGCGGAAGATTTACGGGGGCGGTAGGCGAGAGAAGCGCAAGGACAGTCTATGACAAGATGGTATGGAGGGACTTGAATGGCTCGAATGTATCGGGAAGACAATCGGGTTAGTTGTGGCAGGCAGCTACCAGCTTAATTTCTTTTATGCAAATTTCGCCCAAACCCCAACCCTATTCTGAACCGACGACGGGTTCCCCTTCCCGCGGCCCGGGGCCTAGATGTCCAGACCGTAGGCCTTGACGGCGGTGCCAGCCCAGATCATCTTCTGGTCGTCCTCGGGCAGGCTGGCCATGTCGCAGAGGCGCTCGACGACGGCGCGCCACTTCTTCCAGGCGCCGAGCTTGCCGCCGTCGCCGTCGCCTTCGTCGACGCCGATGGTGCAGACGGGCCAGTCGCTGGCGAACATGATGCGCGAGGGCCCAAAGGCGGCCAGGACGACGGCGAGCCAGGGCTGGACGGCCTCGAAGATCTCCTCGGGCGAGCGCGAGCGCAGGGCCGGTGGCATCTCGGAGAAGAGGCCGCTCAGCTTCATGTAGATTCTGTCGCACTTGGCCAGGGTGAACATGGCGCTGCGCCAGGCGATGAAGCTCGGATCCGCCGTCCTGATGATCTCGAGGTTGGGCTTACAGCAGTGGTCTGTGGGATGGGTGTGTGTGTGTCAGCTGTTGGTAGGGATGAACATGGTGGGACGATAGAACAGTGTCGAACGCACTAATGATAAACTTGAGCTTCTTCGAATCGTCGACCACGCCTTCGTAGGCGTGGTCGATCATGGCGACGAGCTCCTCCAGCTGGGCCCTGCCGCGGCGGTGCTGGTCGACGCCGGCATCGAATGTGAAACCCTTCTCGCCTAGGAGCTTCATGGACTCGATGAACTCGGGGGTCACGCCAAAGCCGGCTTCCTTGTCCTGCAGCAGATAGCGGAAGCCCTTGACCTTTGGCCAGGCCGGACCGGCGGCCTGCTCGGCCTTCTCCAGATACTCGACCATCTTGGCGCGGCCCAGGTTCATGGGGGCCCAGGGGACGATGCCGAGGCAGAGGGAGGCGTCCTCGGGGGTGTGGCCCTCGCCGTCACGTGGCTCGCCCTTGGCGATGCGGGCGAGCCACTCGATCTCCATCAGGGCGTACTTCCATTCGGTGCCCTTCTCATTGTGGCGGTCCGTCTCGAGGAAGACGAAGCCGCGCAGGTTCTTAGGGGCGCCGGTTGCGGCGCGATACTCCTCGATGGAGAAGCGCTTGACCAGCGGGTCACCTGGGGTTGCCCAGGAGAGCGTCTCAAGCTCAGCCTCGGGGTATAGGTGGATGTGGGAATCGACGATGAGGAGGTCCTGGGCGGCCATTTTGGGCAGGTCGAACGGGTCTGGCCTCGCGTTTTACTGGGGTGTGATTTGGATTACGAGTGGTAACCAAGTAACCTCGCGCTATGACAGACCAAGCAACTGAGAGATGATAGGTATCGTTTGTATGTGGCTTTGATGAGGCTGTCTTCAGAATGGAAAACGGATTGAACGCCTGACTCTGGTCAACGGCTGGTGCTTGAGGCTGCTTCTGTGCCAGCTCGAAACATGCCCTTTCCTTGCCTGGCACACCGCAGTTGATGCTAGCCCAGTTGAGCCCACTCTGGAACGGTGGACCACTGCCCAGCGCCCGCAGCGACTCCAGTCATTCAACCAAACACCATTTGACGGTTCGCCGACATCAAGTTTGGGTCGGATTGGGCATCCGGCCATTCACGGTAGGCTCTGTCCATCAGCCCCAAGGCGGGGCATCCAGGGTTGGACGTGGCAATGTACGTCTAGGCTGGCCTCAACGCTTGGAGCTCCCATCATGGCTGGACGCTGAGATTGAACCCCGCAGAAGCTACTGCCCGCTGGCCTTTGCACCGAAGGCCAGACGGGTGGTGGCTAGTGTATTGAACCCCACCATTGATTCTTGATAGCTGAGCGTTGGCGTGGATGGCACCTCCCCGACATCCATCGTATCAATTGGGGAAGTCACGCAAGAGACAAGACGAGCACGAGTTACACAGCCACACAGCGAAGCAGCGCTGAGTGGTGGGGTTGCAGCCTCCATTTCATTGTGGTTGCTGCAGAGGCTGCGGTTTTCCGGTTTTCTCAACCCCTAAATCCCGACGGGTGATATCATCAACATAATCATTCTGGCCTCCCATCCGTACGCCCAAATCACCCCCCTGTCTGCTGCTGCACCCCGGTAAACTCATTCTTCCCCCATTTTCGCACCCAGACGCTGCGAGACATGTGCTCGAGCGCCGCGCTCGACGACTTGGCCGCCTCGACCCGCCCCGCGTCCAGCCCGTGCACCGAGCTGAAGAGCAGCCCGAGGGAGCTCGACTTCCACCTCGGCGCCGCCCCCGCCCCCGGCGCCTTCTCCTTGCCCTCCCGCCGCGCCGTCAGCAGCACCGTGGCCGCCAGGAGCGCCGCGGAGCAGACCACCAGCGATGGCAGGAGCGAGAGCCACTCCCACCGGATCTCCCAGAAGGCCGTGCCCCCGTAGGCCACGCCGGGCTCGGGCTTCGTGTCCCGCGTCGCCTGCGCAGGCGCCAGTACGCCGTTGCCCGGCCCGCCGCGCCGGATCCGCTCCGTCATGGCGTGCGCCACGCGCCGCGACAGCTCGGCCGGGTCGACCGAGTTGAGCACCATGCGCGCGATGCCCCGCTCCCTGGCCGGGTCCGTCGGCATCGGGTCCTCGAGGCTGGCCGTGAAGACGTGGTCCCGCAGCAGCCGCCGCGCCTCGGCGAGGTCGCTCAGCCCCACGCCCATGGTCATCGGGCTCAGGCTCTGCCGCCACTGCGCGTCCCCGGCCGGCCACCCGTTGACGCCCTCGCTGCTGCTGCTGTTGGACCGGCTGCCGCGCCGCTCCGTCAGCACGACGCCGAGGTCCGGCGTGAAGCGGAACATGGGCTGTGACCGGCCCGAAACGTCGTTCTCTGGCTGATCGGACCCACTGAGAGCAAAGGCGGCCGAGGCGCCCACGGCCAGTTCGTTGTTCGTCACCGTGACGCCGGCGTAGTAGATGGCGGCGAACTCGAGCGAGCACTCTGTGATTTCAAAGGCCCCCGCGAGCCACCCGTCTGGCGTGCTCTTCCAGACGGCATACTTGACGATGGAGGCGGGCTGGGCCGCTGAGTTGGATGGGGCGACCACCGACTTGAGTATTGTCGAGTGCAACAAGCTGCCTTCCCGGTATTGCCTGGCGTTGATCACGATGCCGCTCGGAGTCGTATAGCTGCACGCCGTGTCGCCGGCGGTGGCACTTCCGTTACATACCGCTGGCGTCTCGAGCGTCACGTTGGCGCACGACGAGACGACTCCGAGGAAGCCGTAGGTGCCGGGCCAGCTGCAGTTCGATGTCGAGCACTCGAACTCGGTCGTGGGTGGCGCCGCGCTGAAAATACCGTCCAGTATGGCACCATACATGTTGGCGTCCACCGTCCGAGCTGTGACAAAAGAATGGCATGTCAGCAACATGCACTCACAATACTCTCCCCAAACCATGCGACCAATCACCTACCTTCTGGTTTGAACGACCGCTGCTGCCTCACAGTCGCCCCCGAGTCGTAGAAGGTCGAGGACGAAAAGAATGCCACGCCCGCTGGCGCCACAACCCGGCGCGTGGTGACGGCGATGATCTGCTGCGAGAAAGGGTCGGCGACCAGTGCGACAATGGTGAGCAGGGCGCCCACAGCGGCGACGCTGCTCCTAGTGCTGCCGTGGAAGAACATAACCAGGGAACCAGCTGGGCCGCGGCTGGCGCCGTCGAAGACCTCGAGATCCGCGAGCCGGCGCGGCTCGGAGCCGAAGTGCAGCCACTTGAGCTGGCCGATGCAGCTGGCGACGGCCGCCAACAGCGCCGCCTTGCACAGCGTCGACAAGAGCGACACGACGGCATTGGGCGTGATGACCGTCACCGCCGTCCACTCGCGCACCGGCCGGTCCTTGATGGCAGCCAAAACACCCACCATGGCGCCCACGCACGCGGCGCTGAAGATCAGCGCCGCAACTTCGTAAAACCACCCGTCCCTACGCAGATACGCCCACGTGCCCACGGGCGGCTTGCCCGAATATTCCTGCGACACGCCCGGTGGCGGGGGCGGCTGGGTCGGCGAGACCCCGCCAAGCATATCCCAGGTACCGGCGTAGCTCGGTAGTTTTCCGTCGTAGGGTGACTTGTCGTCGATCCAACCATCCTTCTCGTTCTGCTGCGGAGAGGGGTATCGCTGATATGGTGAGTTGTTCGGCTGATATGGTAAGTTGTTCGTGTATATCGTCGGAGGCGCTGCCTGCAGTGTGCTGTTCGGATAATATTGTTGTTGATGTTGCTGCTGCTGAACTTGGCCATGACCTGGGTAGAAGTAGGTGTCGAGGACTCCCTGGTGTCCTGGGTTCTGCTCCGGCGTCACATCGGGACTGTCCCTCTCCAACCCCCAGGTCTGTACCGTCCTAGAGGCGCCAACGTGGTCCGGCGCCCTCGGGACCTGAACGGGATCTGGTCGGGTAACATATGGTACTGCGCTGACCCCGAGGGGCGAGGGCAGCGGCCTGAATTCCGGGTTTCGATCGAATGCGCCCTCGGCGAGTGACAAGGTGGGTGTCAAGGGCGACACTGGCGAGGCCTCCTCCTCCTTGTGGGGGTACTGGGACATTTCGCGAAGGGGACCAGCCACAGAAAAGAAACTCCCATGAAGGGACGGCGTTCCTGGAGATCAATCCAAGAAACCGGCCTTTTCCAAGAAAAGAAGAAGAATCTTCAACCAAGAAAAACAAAAACAAAACAAAAACAAAAGAGGATAAGGAAAGAAAAAGAAAAAGAAAGAATGAGATGAAGGAAAAAAGAACGCTGGGCGAAAAAAAAGAGAAGAGGCGGAAGGAAAAAGGGAAATTCTACGATATCGAAATCCCCGATACGACTAACTTGTAATACATTTCCCTCCCTCGCCCCGCTCGCACTCCCCGGGTTCACGGGGCATTGTCACGGCAGCCATTTCGGGATGATGCCCCGATCCCAGAATCTCAGCAAGGCCTTTCTGGACGCAGGGGAAGGCCACGCCCCCTTTCGGACAGGGGGGTGGGATGTAACGACGAACAAAGAAACAAGCGAGCGGATGGCGACAAGAAACAGACGCCGTTAGACGCGGGCAGGCAACATTCATCGAATTCTTTTGGCAGTGGCCCTCCCCTTTTTTTTTTTCCGATTCCGCATCAGGGGGGTCACGCGGAAGGGGTCTCAACCCCTGGTCGCACCGACGCGCCATTCGCCTCGCGGGCCCTCATGCAACGAGAGAACTGGTCCGAGTGGCGGCCCCACGCGGGTCTCGAGGCGGCGGCGGGACCAAGGGGAGGGATCAGTGATCAAAGATGTGTTTGAATCAACAGGAAGGAGCCACGTTCCGTGGTCGTGCGCTGCGCTGCCTTGTTACTGTGGCCCGGGCTTACCAAAGCCAAGACAGGGCAGGGGGGGTCGCCGCCACCGTCCGTCCCAAGAATAGAATTTTGCTCGATGGAACAGGAATGCCCACACACACACTACGCGCGCTAAAACAGCGCGCCAAACAGTTCACGCGGCGGCACTTTTCTTCCCCCAGGCATGTTGACAGGCGCGCAGGCCAGGGGTGTGTCCTTTGAAGAGAAACATGACACTCAAGGCACCAGAAACGTTTCCGAACCATTTCGTGGTCACAGTACATACGAGTTTGGGGTGTGCGGTGTGTGTGTGGTAGGTACATAGTGCTGCTGGATGTGCGCCCCCCCGAGACGAACGATGGAACGTGAGGCGATCCGTTTAGCCTATATCGGTTGGATCCCGTCAGCCAAGGCTGGAGAGAGCAAGAGCGATGCAGGGAAAGGACAAAAAGATGCCATGTTGGGCGGGCCGTGGGGTCGGTTCAGTCGGACACCGAGACACACAGACAACCCCGACCAGGCAAGATACTGGCACCGGCAGCGGCACCGGTAATTACTGGGGCCAACAGCACCAACGCGGCAAATAAAGGGGGCCATCGGGCAGCAGGCAAGGCATGTATCACGTTGGCGAGCAAGGGGGGGCGCGGTCGCGTGGATAACGGGCATGGATGGCAAGAGTCATGCCATTCCTCAACGGATAGATTTTCTCGCTCTCTCTCTCTTCCCCTTTCCTATCCATTGCTTTCCCGAGTCGGAGCCGCAAGCGAGGAGTGCAAGTACATACCCAGATAGGGCAGCAAAGTATGCACGTGTAATACTTGACAAATATTGAACCCCCTTTCTCTTGTGCTTGCAAGGAAAACTCGCTCTCGAAAAGATGTGTGTTGGTGGTGGCAGGCCCACGGGATTGAAACGAGCAAAAAAACATCCCATCTGTGCTGCTAGTTCCCCACCACTGCAACATGGCTAGGGGGTGGAAACTGACAAGACGAAAACAAATGGACAGATGACATCTTTCTTGCCGCAGGGCCACCAGATTGAACATTTTTAAAGCAAAAAAAAAAAACAAGGTTGTTTTGTTTCCCAGAGACCTGGCCCGCAGCCGCCTCACAGAAGGGCCGCAGGTGATATGGGAGTTGTCGGGGTTTTGTTGGTGAAGTTTGGGGGATAAATTAATCTCAGTGATTTCCAACCGAGCTGTAAAAAAAATAAAAAATCGCGCGAAACCGACGGCAAAGAGGCCGGTCGCGGGGGCCGCAGCATCGACCCAACTGGATGTGGGTTGCAAAAATTAACGATGCGCAAGGTTCTCCCGACGAGAAATGCGACGTGGGGCGCCGGGTCTTGTCGTTGTCGCACGCACGCCAAGGCGCAGAAAAGGCAAGAAAACCGAGACCGGCTCGGCCTGCCCTCTTGCAGCACTTGGCGGGAACAGACGGATCAACGACCCGGCGACGCCGCAACTTCCGTCAACCGTTGCTATCGCGTATTGCCGACTAACAACAAAGTCGAATCAGGGTAGAAGGGGGGCTTGCACCCGACTAACAGTCCCGGCGCGTGGAGGGGAACAGGAGCAGAAAGGAACGTGCTGCTAATCCTGTCCCCCACGACGCCGCGGACGGTGACGGGATCTGCTCATCCCTTTCCTGCGTTTCAGTGGGTGTGGTTGTGCCGTATTTTTGAGTGGGGCCCGTCCGAGGAGGAGGTCTGGGGTATCATTATCATTATTCCTCGTGGTGGTCTTCCCGCCCTGAGCTTTTGTGATCCTCAACCCGAGGCAGCGACATGGTTGCTTATGCGCGGACGACCATGCCGTTGCGGCGGGAGGAGCGGCTGACGTACTCGTCCTCGGAGGAGGAGCAGTCCGACTCGTTGTCGTAGCCGCAGCGGGAGCCGCCGCAGTCGAGGCGGACGCGGTCGCCCTTGCGGGTGATGCCGTAGCGCTCGCACGTGCAAGAGCTGCAGTCCGAGGCCGGGGTCGAGTAACCGGACATGCTCGAGTTGGGCGAGGAGCTGTCGGAGCGGTACGACAGGTCCGAGCCGGAGCCGAGGGACGACACGGGCGAGGCGGAGCCGAAGTCGGTGATGACGTCCTCGTACTCGTCAAAGCTGGCGGAGCCGAAGCGCTGGGCGAGCTCGTCAACCTCCTGGTCGTCGTAGCTGCCGTCCAGGATGTGGCGGGTGGCGTGGGGGGCCACGGGCTTGGGCGACTTGATCTGGGAGATGGACAGGGGGCGGCCCTTGGCGATGTCGCTGGACGAGCGCTTGGAGGAGGACGAGGACGAAGACTTGGACGACTTGGACGAGCTGCTGGAGTGGCGGGACGAGCTCTTGGAGGACGACGACTTGGCAACATCGAGGATGTTCAGGGAGCGGCCAGTGGTGGGCTCAACGGTCGAGGCCTCGGCGGGGTTGTGGGCGCAGTGGTAGCCATCGATGATGTAGTAGTACCAGTAGCGCTGGCCGGCCTCGAGGGTGTTGACGGGGAAGCGGAAGGTGCCCTTCCACGAGCCGGACTTGCTGGCGGTCTTGTCCTTGGACAGGGGGAGCTGGTTCTGGTAGTTGTCCCAAGAGCCGAGAAGGTGGACGGACTTGACGCCCGAAGAAACGCGGAGAGAGAAAGAGAGCTGAGACGACATTTTGACAGGGATGTTGTTATTAATGGAGGAATGCTGCGTGTATTGAAATTGTCCAACTGGGGAAATGTGAGATTCTGAGCGTTTGCTGAGCAAGTAAAGCCAGATTATGGTGTTTATCGAATGATGGTAAAAAGAAGCTGGCCGGCAAGCTTCTCGTGATGTTTTGATTTTTGATTTTTTGGGTGATTATTGGGCAAGAGCACAGCTCTTTGGTAAGGGAAGGGTGAAAAGGGAAAAGGGGAAAAAAACAAAACAAAAAATGGCTTTATGAATTAAGATGCTTGCTGAGGAAAGAAAAGAGGGAGAGAAAGGAGAAAGAGGATGAGGGTGAGGCACAGCTATTATATGGGCTGGCCGGATATCGAGGCCAGGCATGGCGGTTGCTGACCCGGCCGGGCATACCACGCGGGCAGGCCAACCAGCTCGACCATCCAAGGTCAAGTCTACAGTCGGGACCGTGCCTTGCGTCGTACCTCCGTCCGTCTGCACTAGCACAGTACCGCAGCTCACGGTACTGGATCGTCGACGCCCATCCAGCCCACCCTTGGCTCTCCTGCCCACGCGGGGGGACGTACATACATGCACACACACACACGCGCGCGCGCGCGGCGGTACTCCCGCAGCCTGTGTGTGTGTGTGTGACCTCTGGCTGGCCAGTCCGGGTGCCCACCGCGCCTCGTCGCTCCTCACCAAAAGGCCCTCGTCCCCCTCCCCCTCACCTCACCTCGCCCCATGTCCCCTCAATATGCCGGTGCTGCTGCCTTCTGGCTTGCTTGCTCGCTGCTCCGCGCCGGGCGTGAGGCCAATGGGGTGACGGAGCGGCAGGGCGGGTGGGGCCCCGGGAACCAATATCACAATAGGGATGGCCCAGCAGCGCGGCGGGATAAGCTGAGGTGATTGGGGCTGCAGCCAGCAGGGACGCTACTGCAAGAGCTGGGCGGTTAGCTTTGATTGCAGTTCAGGCGGGCAGCATGTTTTTTTTCTCCTTCTTTCTTTTCTTCTGCCTTGGTTTTTTAGGTGTTCGTCACTCGGCTGAGCACACAAAGCAAGGGTACGCACGTTAGCACGTATTGTGCCTGCTGTGGGCGACGGCGGGGGTCGGCGGGCAGGAAGAGCCCACCATGATGCGTCCATCCATTCGGCACAAACGGGCCAGCAAGCCCCTACACATGGTTGGACCGTCACGGTGATGGTGATGGGACGAGGACGCAGACTGGCTGCCACCAACGGACGGGGGACCAGGCTAGGAAGAGCAGAAGGTTGTGATGGGTGGATCCCCGCCGCTGTGAGCGCCAGCTCGCGCTCTAGGCGTCTAGCACCGCGCTGTTATTGGTCGGGCGCGGGCGGGGAGAACGACCGCAACCACGACCTGCATCCATGGGGCGCTCAAAAAAAGAGCTGCCTCTAGCCAGCCCAATGGAATCCCTGCCTTCATCAATCTCTTCAAGCCCCAAATCCAATTCCAATGGGGCCAGCCTGCATGGAGACCAGGACTGCCATCCAAACACGCAACCAATCGCCGCGGCGTTTCCCGGAATCGTTCTGTTTTCGCGGCCAAGAGGGGGGCTGGCTGCAGAAGCAAAGCGAGGCAGGCAGGCAGGCACAGGCGCAAGGTGGGGTGTGGGTTCTTGGAGGGGCCGGCCGCTAAAGGCGACCAAGCCAGATCCCGTGCCCACCACATGATGATCGACGCCATCCACTTCCAAAAACATCCCAAGCACAGGCCGCGGGCATTGAGTCGCTTCTCGAAAGCACCAAACTACCTATCTACCTGTCCTTTCGGTGACCGGCGCAGGGAAGCATATCTTTCCTATGAGCCTAGGTTCCTTCCCTGTTTGATCTCCTTTGATGTCGGCCTGGGGAAGGCGCTGGAAAACACGGGATTGAGTGACAGCATCCAGTCGTAGTGGCTGCCAGGGGAATCAGCAAATGGAGGTGAGGTTATCAATAGAACAATAGAGCGTGCATACGCGCCGCCCTGCAGGCTCCTTTCTGCACTGGGCCTAGCGGGCCAGGCTAATGCACGCCATCAAGCCAGCATAACGCACTCTGGCTGTACCTCCTCTCGGCGGGTATGTCGAAATTCCACTTCTCATCACCATCACACAAGACGCAGCGCAATGCGACGCACATGCCCATTGTGTGGTGCCCCCCATCATGCAGCCAGCCAGCCAGCCAGTTACGACCCGTCCGGAGCGAGGCGGGACCTTTGCTTGGCGACCGATGTCCATCTGCACCTCCCTCTCCCACTCTTCCACTGCCGTTGCGACTCGTGTGTATGCATTTGCTTTTCCATCTGCCCCCCCTCCTCGGTGCCGGGCCCCGATTCCCTGCCTCTCGGTCAGGAGGGCGAGAGGGGCGGAAGCCGTCGTGTCTGCTCTGCTATTCGCTGCTCCCTTTCCCCTACAGGAGGTTGGGATGCGATCGCCCACTAGGAAATCCGGCCACTCGGCCGTACAGCCCCCCCGGCCGCTCATGAACCGTCTTGTACGTAAGTAGGAAGCATCTGAATGGCGGCCCAGAGATGAGCCTCGTGCCCGACGCACCGGCGAGGGGCCCCGCTTCCCGTTTACCCAACCGCCCTCCTCGCATCCGCGCCTGTTTGCATGTTCTAGGACCCGAGACCACCGGTCTAGGTCGGGCAAGGCGTCTCTGATGCGCAAGCTTGCCACCACTCGCTCGGGCGGCTAGATACCCAAAAAGATATCTCGCGAGATATGCCCCGCCGTCCTCTGCTAAGCGACGTGGATGATGTCAACGAGTCAGGGAGCCGCCGGCACTTAACTCCATCGGTGCTCCGACCTCGACCCCGGCCTTTGCTCCGCCGCCTTTGCCGGTCAGTGGGTCCATTCCATCTTTAGCTCTCCCCGGAGTCTCTATTTATGCCGAACCTGAGAACCTCGCCCTCCAGGGCTTGGACTGCTCGGTGCATCCCAAGGACGGTTGAAGACCCATTGCCCAAATAGCTGAACTCGGGCAATTATGCCTTGGTATCATGTTTCTTGCACTCAAAGTGATCAACATGTAAAGTATCTTGGCGTAAGGCCTCCGCTTCCGAATTGATTATCTCTCTATCTCAAAGAAAGAAGCACCTGGCACACCATATATCTACCTACTCTAGATGGGTATGGTAGGCACGTGTTTGGTACCGAGGGCCCTCCATCAGACGGACGAGTCGAAAAATGGCCTCCAAAAAACGAAATGTGCTCATCGTAGAATCCACCACACCATCATTAACCCTCGGATATTGTCATCCACCATGCTTCCCAAACTTCTGTCCACCAACATCAGGCCGGCATCGCCACCCACTCGGGACAAATCATGTAGACATCATCTCTGGGCATGTTGCCCTTCCAAAGAACAAAAGATTGGAAAGAAGAAATGAAAGTCAGGACCCGCCCATGCTCGAGTGAACCCAGACGTACATAGCGTGGGCCGGCCCAGCAAAGGCAAAGACCAGCGCACCCGTCAGAGACCAGAATAAGGTGTCGGAGCCCTCCATCTAGAGCAAGCATGCGACCGCCAGGCCCACAACCATCATTACGGCACCAGCCTGCTCCATGACAGCAGCAGAGACGGGGACCACCGGGATGCTCGCCGTGGGCGCAGGGGGCTGGACCGCCGGAGTCTCGGTCGAGGAAACCGTCGGGACGGTGAAAGTGTCATTGCCTCCATTGCCACCGCCGACAGGAGGGACCGACTCGACAGGAGGGGGCTGCAGAGGGCCGTCCGAGGGGAGGGGCTGCTCCGGAGTGCCAGAAACAGGAGGCATCATGGGTCCACCAGTAGGGATGGGCTCCACAGGGCCAGAGACCGAAGGGACCGGGTCGACACTGGGCCAGGCAGGCTCAGATGTGGCAGGGACGCCAGGAGCGCCAGGAACCTCGGTGCCAACAGGCTCGAGCGGGCACGGCGACGAGGTCGGGAGCGCCTTCCAGTCATCCGAGACGGTCGATGCCGTGTTCTTGGGCTGCGACGGATCCGCAGAGAGGGTGAACCTAGGCGTGCCCGAGTTCTCGTAGACGATACCGCCCTTGACACCTGATCCATCCGACTCGAGGTTAGTGGCTGAGTTACAGGTGAGAAGAGTTTGAGAGTGCTCAGCTCTGTTTGTGGGTGGGAACTCACAGGCCGCATCGCCAGAAACGTCCGAGGATTGGTAGCACAGAGCATCGTTGCTGCCATAGGGAGGCTTCTCGGCGAGGAACTACACACAGCCATTTTTGATATTGTTAGTTGCCGTGTCAATGGCTACTTCTCTCTCCGAGGAGATCAATCTGGCGAATTGGCGGATGGGGCGTGTTGAGATCGTACCTCGCTGCAGAGACCACGCTTGCCGATTCCGTTGGCGTCGCAGGTGGCGATGGTCTTGGTCAGAAGAGACTCGCCGACGCAGAAGGAGCCGGCGAGAGCCTTCGGGCACTTGATGACGCCGTTGGCATCGACGGTGATCTGGGCGGTGGCCAGGGTCGCCGAAGCGGCCAGCATCATGGCTGCCGTGAACTTCATGGTGGGCGTAGATGAGGTCGGCGAGAAGGGAAGTGCGGCTCGAGATTGATATCGATGACGAGCTTTGCTTTGTTTTGTCAAAAGGCGGGCTCGTGGAAGGCTTCAGCGAGCGAATGGGCTTCCAAGTGACGAAAACGAGTGTGAAGAGGCTGTTCCAAGTTCCAAAGGTGAAGGTGGAAGTGGAGGTGGAGGGTGGTGGAGTGGAAGTCAAGAAGGAGGAAGGAAATGGGAGGTTGAATTTTTTTTCTTTTCCCTTCTTTGCCACTCGGGCCTGGCCTTTTTGTTGGGCAACGTTGAACGGTCTGGGCGAGTGCTACGAATTTGAGGAAGGAGCGAGCATGGATCAGAAAGTGACTGTCCGCTGACCCAGCGTTCGAGGCAGGCACGACGGGGACAGCGGTGGAGGGCGCTATCAGATTGCCATCACCACCATCTCACATTCCTGCCGAGTCCTGTACGGCTCTACCACTGCCACCGCCCTTCAGTCATCGAGCTCCCTACTGCTACAGATCGATCAAGCGCCGTGATATCAGGCAGTATAGCTGTCACGTCACGCCGCCCCTTCGGCTATGGCGGATGGTCACATCAACCTTGTCCACCTGGAGATTCGCACGTATACATATATACATATATATACACCACCTCGAGCAGCAAATACGAAGGCACCTGGTATTGGTCGGTTCGCAAAACACATACATCCACACGTGTGCCGCGGGATCAGGATCTCAGGTAGACCGCGAGGATCGCCGTGACAAGGCACCAATAATAGTCAACACGAAAAGCAGACACGTTCATGTATCCTGTGAGATATATGACACGAAGAGTACGGAGTCAGTCGACGATAATCTGATATGGCTGACTCTCCATCACTGGCTGCTGTAAGTCCTGCTAGAACGGTCTGCGACCACATGTAACCAAAAGGTGTATGATTTCAGGCAGGGAGGAGACACCCGAGCAGTGTGATGTGAAACTCTGTACTCTTTTGAGCTACCATGACTACCACATCAAGCCAACGTCCCGTTCAATCTCTTTCCGTCGCACCAACCGCCAAAGTCTCCCTTCTTGGAAAGGAGAGCACAAGAAAAAGCCCTCTGTTCCAGTTTGTTGATATGTGCCGGTTGACCAAATGTCAGAACCTGGTGCCCCAAGCCCAACTACCATCATATACCCGACATATACTAGCGGGAAGGTCTACGCCTGGTAGGCTGTAGTCACAGCTCCTCTTCCGCCTCTCCTTGATTCTGAGCAATGCTTAGAGGACCCCGCTTGACCATGATGCTCATGATCTCGTAGAGCGCGTCCGCTGCCGCCATGGTGGTGAGCTCGGCATTGGTGTCGTACGCCGGCTGTGGCACAGAAACATTGGCATCATGAGCTTATTTTTCCTCCAAAGCGGCGTGACACGGTAAAAGAGATGAATTAGAGACTTACGGCAACCTCAACAATGTCTGCGGCGACGATGTTGAGATCCTCCAGTCCCCTGAGGATTGTCCGGAGCTCTCGAGTCGTCCAGCCCCCTGTCTCGGGCGTTCCAGTGGCTGGCGCAACTGGATTGGTGTGGTAGTGTCAGCGCTGAAAGACGTATGTAGTAGAACCAGGGAATGAGCCCAAAATACTCACAGGCAGGGTCCAGAGTATCGATATCGAGGGACAGGTACACCGGGTTCTTGGTCCCGACGCGCTCCTTGATCTTCTTGATGATGCCGTCGGTGCCGATAGTGTCGATCTCGCGCGCCTCGACGATCTCGAAGCCGCAATAGCCGTCGTTGTCGTAGTCACTCGGGCCACTCAACGTGGTACGGATGCCGGCGTGAATGTTCGAGTCGTTCCTGAGCAGGCCCTCCTGGGCGGCATGGTAAAAGTACGTGCCGTGGTTGATGCTGGCAACGTGCGACGGCGAGCCGCCAAACACCTTGGGTCTCCCTACCGCCCGGTGGTGCGTGAGTATAAGAAGCCTTTGCCCGTGCACATGCATCTCGACTTACAAGTGTCAAGGTGGGAGTCGAAGTGGACGACGCTAATAGACTGTGTTGGACAGGCGTTTCGTTCAGCGCGCTGTGCCCCAGCAACTCGAGAGATGTGTGCCACTTACACCATATGCGCGATTGATCGACCTTAGTAGAGGCAGAGTTATGGTATGGTCGCCGCCAAGCGTGATGACCCTGGGCAGGGTTTTCCCCTTCAAGGCAGGTCCCTGCTTGTGGGCATCGGTCTTGGGCGCCCTCGAGAGGATGCTGTAGTGACCTTCCTCGATCTGCTTCAGAGCGAATGTGTTGTCGTATCTGCGAGCCAGAATGTTGTCAGCTCGCTGCCACCATGGAGTTTCCAATCTACTTCCTTACGATGTCACCGGTATATCGCCGCAGTCAAGCACGGTCGCCCAGCTGTTGAACGGGTTGGTCTTTAGGGGGACGTTGTATCCGCCGCTGACAAGTCCTGTCAGATCTAGTCGCGCCAGCCAAGCTTGAGAAGAGGACACTCACTAGAGATTCAGGCGGCGAGAGCCCTGCCTGATACCAGAAGGGCCAAACCGGGCTCCTGGGCGGTAGGACGTGCCCGTGTCAAACGGGGCCCCTTTTCAACCATGTACAATCTCCCTCTTGGGTCAATAATGATCCTCGCATGGGCCGAGGCAAACGCCGACAGTCGTATGAAGGGTCTTGCACAGACCAATGAATGCAATGTCATATGATACGTGGCTGTTGCTCAGGCACGGCAGATACGGCAGACGACCAAAGGTCGAGATGCCAGAAAAGACGGAGTCGGCCTAGGGAGCAGGCACGTAGCATGGCCGTTAGTGGAACGTTTAGAACGAGAGGCTTCCCTCGATGCGCCCCTTCGAAGCCGCAAGTCCCACATTCCGGGGGCAGGGCTTACCTGGGTGCCGCCGTCGCCGGGAAGCTGGTTGTACCACAAGGACTGCAGTGGCCCGGACATGGGCTCCTGGTCGTGGTGGTCCCCATGAGCCGACACGAGGGCCGCAAGGGCCGTTGCTAGTGCCGCCCAACAAAGCATTTCCAATAACACAGAACGTCGGTTGGCTACTGGTATCAACGAGAGTGTTTCTATGACAGCAAAACGAGGTTCCGGTAGCAGGCGCGGGCACAGGCCCTAGCCGTCGAGGGAGTGTCCCAGAGGGGGTTATTAAAGGGACGCCATGGCTCCCCATCGTTCGCTCCTCTGATAGGGTTGGGGGGTTCGAAAGCATCATGCAAAGTCAACCTGGAAGCGGCCGGATTGGCAGAGCGGTGCCGTCCCATCTCCAGCTTCGTGCAGGATAACGAGCTTATCGTCTGGGACGCGGGATAGGTGCGTGGCACTCGGGCTCGCTCGGACAGGTGCCCGGTATCAAGACAGCATGCTTCTTGGTACGATCGGGCGCATACCGATCTTGTAGGTAATGGCTATTACTAGCCAAAATGCCAGCCGTTCCCTCTACAGCTCCTCTTTTTTCATGCATGATGATTCTATTGACACGCAAAGACGGCTGCCTCCTCAGCTAGGCGTAGAGATACCCCGCGTTCTGCATGGACCGGAACCAGCATATGGCTTTCATAATCGGCATCGAGATGAGCTGGCTAGGTCGGCATCCTGCATGCCTTGGTTGGCCTTGGTGTACGTAATCAGACCTCGATAGATGGCATGTGTGTGCACCAGAAGGTTGAAGAAGGATCGCGGGCTCATTTGAAAAGCAAGATCTGGGGTTTGCTCTAGAACCCAAAAGAAAACGCATGGTTGGACGAAAGGGATGATCGAAACACCAAACCTCGATCCCCGGTTCCCTGCATAACGGCCCTGCCTGAGCGCCAACAGGGCGAGATAAGAGCTTACCACTCCCCGTGGGCCTGGCTCCGGCAAGTCACGTTACCGCCGCTGCCAGATGGGTTACGCGCAGTTGCTCAGGAGGTCGCCTCAGGCAATGGGGTGAAATGTCGCCATACGCGCGGGGAATCATGAGGGATTATGCGGGAGCTTGTCGCGACCTTGCATGTAAGTGCTGTGTTTGGTCCCAAGAGGCCATGAGGACACCGATGCCAATACAAGTCCCCGACCCGTACGGCAGGAGGATTTTCTTCAGCCGGTCACTTCCAAGGGTCGGGTTAGAGGCGCTACGGACCTCCGCCATGTACGGGCTGATCCCCGGCGATGAGCTCACCAAGCCTGGGCACCAAGAAGCCGAGATTTCTGCATGGGAACGCCACTGCCCACAATAGCGGCCTATCGCTGAGGTGCGTGCTTGGTTCTCGGTGACCAACTGGAGAGAATGACGGGGAATGGCCCGAGTTGATCACGTTTGGCATCTTAGGGCTGCATCCATCCGTGTCTCGGTAGTTCAGGTGATCATTGCGATCTTTGATCTTTGCAAACACCTCGCCATTTCTCCTGCCTATGAAAGCATGAAATGGGCGACGGGAGAAAGGGATGAGCCGTGGCCCCACCATAACACGTGAATGGATGGATGGGGCGAGCGAGGGGTTGGAAGTGATAGGATAAAGGCCGTCGGTCAAGTTGAGCAAGGGCGTGGGAAGGTGGTGGGCAGAGGACGACAGGGGCTCGACGGGGAGGCGGGAATGGAGCAGACCTGCAGGCGTGAGAAAAGGAACAAGGACAAACAGTAGCGGAGCAGGCCATGCTGCAGCTCGGGGAAGCGGTCTTCCTGACCAGACCAGATGGGGAAAAGCGCCGACAAAAAGTTGGAAGGGACGGATATGATTCGCCGACCGGCGTGCAAGTACGTGGTAGTAGCGTGCAGGCTGTATGCAAAAGGAGTCTCTAAAAGAGGGAGGCGGGTAGCCTCGTGAGCGTCTCGCGACGTGATTTGTCCTCGTGACCTGGCCCACGGCTCTGGTGCCCTGCCCCTCCCCCCTCCTTCCAGTCCTGGTCTTGGGTGTGAGCGGGTCAAGACAAGCAATCAAGCCTGGACCTTTTCCTATCGCCCTTTGGAACGACCAAGGAGAAAAAAAAAAAGGCGCAGTCTGTACGCTTCCGTCGGGTCGGTGAGGGCCACTTCGAGCTGGACCTGCGGCACTGAATCCAGCGGGCTGTGTGGACAAATGGCCGCTGCAGGGAAGACGTACGGAAATAGGCACAGACAGCATATGCGTATCCACGCATACACTGACCGGCCTGTGGCTCGTCCAGTCGCAGACGCAGCGGGCGCCGCGAGCGAGCCAACAGCGTTCGAGATGTAGGGGGCCTGGGTCGTCGGCCAGCAGCAGCCGCAGCTCCCTCGGCCACTTGCAGCGACGGGACTGATGGTCGGGCAGGGCATGCGAAACACTTGAGAAGGAAGGGGACGGAAGGCGAGGGACACATGCAGCCCAATGTGTTCCTCGTGTGTGTTCAGGTCTATTCCACAAACTTTTTTTTGGTATTATTATTGCGCTGCCGAGGCGCATGCTGCACTGCACGCACCTGGGCGGACAGAGACATGGACGCGGGTGCACGCAGCGCATACAGAATACTTGCTGCTGCTGGCCTCAAACCCGTGGGCGATGATGTGTCCTCGGTGGACGTTGGGACGTGGCCTGTCCGTGACCAACAGTCGGGAAAGGGGATCGAGGCCTTCCTTGTCGTGCAGCTCAGGGGACTCATTTGAGCTCGTCGTGACAGCCGGGCCGGCTGTGCTAAGCCGAGCTGACAAGCGGTGTCTACTGCAGGAGAAGGAACGCGAGTTCTCTCTAGTGCAGAGCAGGGCAGGGCATGCAGCCTAAATGTGAAGGAAGGCATCATTACCAACCTCCTTCCCAGAAGCAAAAGCACGACTCACTGCAAAGGCGGCGACGGCCACACAGGCAGGCGCAGGAGAGGGCCACAGGGCCCATAGTTTCGGTGGTCCAGTCTGAAGAAGCCTCCATTGTCCGCTGTGAAACTGGTCGGATCCAGCCGCCATTGGGACAGCTCTGGCCGCCTCCCCAACCTACCAGCCCCTTCGCTCCATCTTTTCTTTTTGTTCCGCTTGGCCTGCGATATTCCATCGTCACTGCGCGTTAACCTGAGACTCGCTCACCATTCAATTGTATTTTCGCCGCACATCCACCGCGCGCGCCCAAGCCCTGCGACGGCCGTCTTCGATTGGCGACCTGGGCGTTGGGGAAATTAACGAAACGAAACAGCCCCGGCCTGTGGAAATCATTGTCGCTTGATGCGCCACGGCCCATCCACGGCCCATCCATCCATTCCCCAGCCAGGCCCTGATCCCGGTGCTCCCAAGTCCCAACCCAGCTGAGCGAGCAAACCCGGATCGTGCCGCCCTGTGTCGCCTTGTCTCGTTGGCCCTCGAACTGGTCGCAGACAACGTGTGCACACACTGCCGCACAGAGTCGCTCGCCACCTGCGCGCTCCATGTCTCAGACGGTTGCGTGAGCCAGGCCCTTTGATCGCCTCTCTGCTGCCTGCGAAACGAAACCCGCTTTGAGCCCTTGTCGCGCTCCGAATTGTGCTTTTTTTGCTGTCGAATCAGCTTACTTTTAGTCTGCTCCTCGTCCAAACTTTTTTTTGCGACGTGATATCATCCCATATCGCGCGCAGGGTTGTCCCGTCCGCCGCACTCCACCCGCCAGACCTAACCATCTCATGCCTGTCTGCCACACGAATTTGCTTGACAAAGCTGGCCGCCATGCGAGGATCCTACCGTGCTTTATAGGACCCGGTCGCGTCTAAACCTGAGATACCACCCAGCATCGCCTGCGGGGCGCGCGCCTGTTGATTGCCAGGCCACGCGACCCTGACGCTTTCCATGCTTGCCGTCGCTGCAGCCCAGCGCCCGTCTTGTCCTCCGCCTCTGCCTCCCGCCATGACGGCCAGCGCCGAGTCAAGGGCGCCGCTGGCAGATATGCGGGCGGCCGAAGACGTCGAATACAACTCACCGTCGAATCCTCGTGTCCAGCCGCTGCTGTTTAAGAAGCGCAAGCTGTTGCCTCACCCGAGGCCCGACTCTTTTCCCTACCGCAAGGGCCCGTACATCGCCGCGTCTGGCGGTGCTCCCCTCGCCGTTGCTCCTTTGCGCGATGAGACCACCGCAGCATCACGGACCTCGCGCTCGCAGTCGCCGCGCCCTCGGCCTGCGATTCACCAACTGAGCCACCGGCCCAAGAGGGTAGGAACCGGCCCCGACATGCCGCCGACACCTCCGGCGCACTCCCGAACATCCTCCTCTAGCCACTCGGCAGTCCCTCCCAGTCCCACCGAAACCCCAGAGGCCAGCACCGAGCAGGTCCAGGCTCCGCCAGCACCTAGTCCGCCGAGAACCCCGACCACTCCAACAAACCAAAGGAGTCCGCCCACACCCGAGGTGACGCCTCCGCAACTTCGCGTCAGCAAGCGCCCTGGGCCTGTTCCTGTAAGGCGCCCGAGCGGGAACGACCGAATCCTATCGAGAAGCACCACGGCATCGGGGCCGGATTCATTCATGACGGCCAGGGAAACTATGTCGTCGACTCCAGAGGATGATGAAGGAAAGTCGACGATGCGGCCCAGGGCATCATCCATCAGGACCTCTTCACAGAGCACTGTGCGCCAGGCAAGCGGGGTCAACGGCGACGAGGCGAACGTGGTCGATGGCGACGAGGAAATCAAGCCGAAGGAGAAAAAGAAGAAGCCAAAAACAATCGGCCTCGGTTTGGGGCTGGAGTCTAGTCCAGAGTCGGATGCGACAGCGACACCTCCCAGGTCCAAAGCCAGGTTTCTCAGCTTTGATGGCGAATGGGGCCCTGGAGAGAACGAGGTGGAAAAACAATGGGATGACAACCTGGGGAGGGACGTCACTGTCAGCAAACGGGTCCCAGTTGTGAATGGCCATACCCCGGAGATCTGGGAGGATAACACGGTGCTGCCCACGAGCGCCACCGAGGCATTGCGCTCTATGGGTCTTCCTGAACGAGCGCTTGCCTTCCCGTCACCCCTGGAGTCGCCCGCGCCAAATCCTTTTGCGCGCGCCGTCCTCCCGCTTCAGGATTCGCCCGAAATCGCGGCCCGGCGCTTGTCAACAATGTCTTGCTACTCTACAGCCTCCACAAACCCTGATGGGACACCCAGAAGACAGAGGACGTTGCGTCACGTCAGGAAGGTAGACCTATTACGCGATTCCATGTCTGAGCTGTCTCAGTCAAGCTCGGCGGAGACAACATCGGTACAGCTGGACGAGGTCTCGAAACGACGACCCCCGCTCACCAACATGCATCTTTCGGAGATGCGGCATGCGAGCTACATTTCCACGAGCACCACCAACTCCATCTCGAGTCGCAAGGCTCGGAGAGACGTTTGCAAGAACGGCGGCATCCCCATCGTCATCGTGCCCGAACGCCGGTCGTCGCTCAAGTCCAATAGCAGGACACCGTCTCTTCGCTCGACGCGAAGCAGCAGGCGAAGCCAAAGCGTAGGATCTGCCCCGCTGCTCTCACAACTACCCAAAGGCAAGGACCTGGCCCCATACTTTGATCGGCCGTCGCGCCGCAGCAGGGCCCTGTCTGAGTCGGACGGGTCGCTGCCGGGCGATCAGCGGACTATAGACTACCCTCCCATCGTCCCACGGCGGACGTCGTCACTCTCGGCCCCGACCAGCCGGAACACATCAAGAGCGGGGTCTCTGACGGCGGATAGCTTGAGGGATCTGCAAGCACTCCAGACACAGGCCCAGACGCAACCACCGAGGCAGAGGCCACAGGAACCGAAGAGAAAAGCGCCATCGCCACCTGGCCAACCCACGGACCGAGCCGGTCCTCCTGCCGAAACGCCCGCCAAATCAGTCACGCCCAAGGTCGAAGTAGCCCGTGATCCTGCTCCTATCGGCCCCGAGGTCAGGATCGAGCCAGCACCGTCTGTAGATTCAGTGGACGAAGGGGCAAGGTTGCACCCTATGCACAAAGTCAGCGTTGACCACCACGGCGATCCGCTCTTTGGCAGGCGGCTGTCGGCCCAGCAAACGCCCTTTTCCCAGCACTCGGTCGAGACGAACGCGACGTCGCACGCCGAGGTTTCGGAGGCGATGGCGGTCAACATTTATCCACACCAAAACACGTCTGTTTTGATGGTGGATCATTCCAATAAGCCGAGCCTGAGCTCGTCGAGCACCTCCAGCACCGCCAAGGAGATGCAGCCACGGGAGTTTATGGCTTTTGACGAGGCTCCTGGGCCGCCGGCCAAGGTTGCTCCGGCCATGACTGGCAGACCTACCATCAGAACAGTCGACATGGATGCAGCTGCGGTGCCTGCCACGCCGCCTCAGCCCACCTTCTCGATGGACGATGTCGACTCCCCGCTTCGTAACCCACGGGCTCCCCCTCAACCGCCCAGCCGGCTACAGCCTCCCGCTATAGAGTTTATCCCTGCTACACCGTCAGGCCTCACACCGGCCCAGGAAAAGCAAGCGCAGCTAGGCAACTTCTATGAGGCGCTCATTGAGCGTCCGCCTGCAAGACGCATGTCGCTTGTGAAGAGAGCCTTGAGTCTGCGGCAGTCACCTTCGCACGGCCCAACACCTCCCCGCAGCTCAAGCTCCGGCTTCATCTCTCGCGCCTTGTCGCTCTCCCGAGGCTCTAGTCTGCGGAGGGAGAACTCGCGCCAAAGGGCCGCGTCTACTGGGAGGGGCAAGTCATGCACCACAATGGGGCCGGACGACGAACCGGCCGACGAGACCAGGCTACACCCTTTCTGGCGCCCGAGCTACGCTCCCGACTCGGACAGCGAGTCGGACTCTGACGGCGGAGTCGACCTAGACGATCGGACGTACCGCTACCCGCCCATCGACAACCGACCGCGGCCGCCGCGTCGGAGTCTCAGCCAGCGGATGAAGCACACCTTTGCCATCCTGCCCATCCGAGACGATTATGACCACCACGACGGATTCCCCGCCGGTGGGCCGCCGGACTCTCCGATCCGCCGTACTGTTCGGCGTACGCCCAGTGGCAACCTGCGCGTGGTTGGACGCCGGGCGAGCCACGATTCCGTGCGGCGTGCCCGGACCCCGCGCCAGGAGCAGCGGCAGCTGAATACACGTAGCGGGGACCGGCCGTCAACGGCGCCCGACGACGGATCCGGACAGCCGACCCGTCGGAGGCGCAATGTGGAGCCCGTGGGCGGCGGCGACGGCACCACGCCGCCGCGGAGGCGGAGCCTGCTCCTGTTTGGCGGCACTAGCAGCGGCGGCCTGGCGGGCAGGCTGGACGGCTACAGCCTGCAGGATCTCCCCCGCCGGCTGAGCGAGCGTCGGCGCGAGAAGAGGAGCCGCGAGTTGCGTCAGAAGATCAGCTCGCCCCGCGAGGTCCGCGACGGCGTTCACGACGTTGTCCGCCGCAACAACTACCGCGACGCCTGTACGCAAGCCCAGCCTCGGGTCCAAGAGGCTTCTGCGCCCGAGCCCCACCGTCGCTACACTCGTTACCATGATGGCCGATGAGCGAGCACTAACGGGCGGATTCTTTTCCCCCTCTCTCCTCCCCATCTTCGATTCGCTCCACGGGCAAGATCGAATTTCCATATTTACCATAATTGCTTGGTGTTTTTTGTTTTTGCGGTTAAATGTTAGCGTTGATGTACCATTCGTTTCTCACGCATATATGAAGAAGCTACGAGCCCCACGATTTCCAAGAAGCAATCAAGATTAAAGCACATATTTCACAGAAGATAGCAAGGGTTTTGACGCCACTTTCAGTTCACGGTTGGTTCAGGGCGTATGTATGTGTATCTCCTCGGGGGCCAGCCCGTCGCGGTTGTCCGTGATTGATGTTTTGTACACTTTTCTGTGCTGTCACATTGCTTGTCACCATATCATATGCTTGGGTTCGGACACACTAGAGGAGGATATACTTTGAATGAGCGCTCAATTTCAGCTGCTTGCCGCTATACTGAACATTGGAGATTTTCTGATTGCAGACATGCGTGTGGTCTCGCCTTTGATTACTGTCCCACCGCAGCACTCGTCTATGTCCTGCGTAATGTTGATGACGCTACAGCGATCCCATGTCGTCTTGGCCACGGGTCTTTTCTGTTGATAAAGGCAAGCCCATAACGCCCAAGCTCCCGACAATTTGAATAAAAACCTATATGTACATGAGGTATCGAGAGAGAAAGCGAGAAGGAAAAAAAGGGAGAAGATTCAAACATGAGGGCTGTTGACCAAAAGGCGCGTACAGGCCATTGGCTAACCCCGAGCGTAAACTCCGAAAACGTCCGATGCTCACCGCTTGCCGTCCGCGCCCGGGGGAGCACCGCCGGGGGGCATGCCGCCAGGGACGAAGGGCATAGGCGGCATGCCAGGGAAGGGCGCGGCGCCGGGCATCGGGGGTGGCATGCCGGGGAAGCCCGGGAAGTTTGGTGGCGGCACGCCGCCAGCGCCCGGAGGCGGGAACGGCATGCCCGGGAACGGCGGCATGCCGGGGGGGAGCGCGCCGGGCGGGGGCATGGGCAGGCCGCCGGGGCCCGACACGCCGGGGGGAGGGAACGGCATGGGAAGGCCGCGGGCACCAGGGAGGGCTAGAGGTTACGGGAAACAAACCAGGTATTAGTTCTCTGGGCAGCGGGATCTGGGATGAAGAAAGGGAGGGGGGCGTCGGCGCCACAGGTTAGGTACGTACGAGGTGGCATCCCGCCGGGGAAGCCGCCGGGAGGCGGCGGGGCGCCTGGCATGCCGGGGAAGGGCGGAGGCGGCATTCCACCAGGGAAGGCAAATGGCGGAGGGAAGCCGCCGCCGCCGGGCTGGTTCTGCGGCAGCATGGGGTTGGCGTGGGCCTGGCCCTCGGCGGCGTAGGACGACGTGATGGAGTCGATGACGGACTGGGCCTTTTCGTGTCCGATCTCTGGGAGGAGGAGCGTATGGGGGTTAGTACCGCAGTTTGCTCCAGCAGCTGGGGAGGGGCTTATAGGCTGAGCAACGGCAGGGTGACATACGCTGATAGTATTCTATCACGTTGCGGAGGTGGTTCCGGCCGCTGTTGTGCGCCTTGCGCACGCTCATCGAGTCGTGCGTCAGGTAGACATCGCAATAGTCGCCTGCGAGGAGGGGGATATGCTCAGGTTAGGACGAGTGGCTGTTCGCTATTGGCCGGTTTCAAGATTGGGAGTGGTGACCTACAGAAAACTAGGAGGCAATCGAGACATGTTAGCTGGGGATGCGCATCGCTTGCATGGCTGGGGAGGAGGCATGGGAACTCACACTTAGGCATGTTAAACTGCTTGAGCTAGAGGCAGCTCCGACCTAGATGTAGCTGCAGAGAGGAATAGGAAGTGCTCGGCGCGTCGAGGGTCTCTCGCTTCGGCCGATGGAGTCGGGAATGGACTGGTATGAGGGCTGGCGCAATGCGACCACGGTTGGCTTTGCTTCTAGCTTCAGCGATTCTCCCCGTCACGACAGGCGCGACATTCTGCCAGCTGCGACCGCGTTTTTTGCGCGGCTGCCACTCGGAGCTAGCAGGGTGGTGTGGCTGCACCATTCAGGGGTAAGGCGGGCGGGGCGGGGCCAGGGTGTGGCGCAGCACTCAACGATGGGACTGATGGCGACAGATTTCCAGTCGGCCTTATCGGTATGGGGGCCAAGGGATGGCAGCTGTGCTCGCTCTGTCCATCCAGGTACCTCGTCGGATCGCAACCCTCGAAACAACGAAGGAGAAAAACGATCTCACAACCCCCCCGCGTCCGGGACGAACCACGCTCGATTCCTCAGTCCGCACACAGCCATGGCGCTGCCACTACTACCACGACCGTTGCTGCGGTACATCTGCAGCATCGTGCTGTTCGTCGCCTGCGCCAACGCCCTCAAGTTCGAGCTGCAGGCCCAGTCCGGCCATGGCTACTACGACAAGCAGCAGCGATGCATACGCAACTTTGTCGCTAAGGACACCCTGGTGGTGGTCACCGCCATCGTCAACGGCCATAAGGGCGACGGCATGATAGTAAACATGAATGCGAGTGCCCCTCCCCTTTGCGTCTTGAGCTGCCACAACAACTCGCGCCTATGCGCCGGCTTGGTTGTGGCGTGCCTCGCATCGCATCACCATCCCCACGCTAACCCGCTCACCCTCCTCTTTCTCCCGCATCTCCAGATCAAGGACGCCGTCGGCAACGAGTACGGCCGCGCAAAGGACATTGTAGGGGAGCAGAGGACTGTCTTCACGTCGCACGCCGACGCGGCGTTCGACATTTGCTTCGAGAACGTGCTCGAAGGACGTACGTCGTCATCGTGGTTTCAGGGCATTGGCCTGAGGGCCGCAGAGGTCAGGGCCGAACGGAGATCAGAGGACTCATCTGACGATGCTCACGCGCGTACAGACAAATACGTCGAGAACCCGGTCCGCAGCGTCGAGCTGGACGTGGACATTGGCGCCGACGCGAAGGACTGGTCGTCCATCCAGGCCACCGAGAAGCTGAAGCCGGTCGAGACGGAACTGCGCCGCATCGAGGAGATGGTGTCTGAGATCGTGAACGAGATGGACTACCTGCGCATACGCGAGCAGAAGCTGCGCGACACTAACGAGAGCACAAACACGCGCGTCAAGTGGTTCGGCATGCTGACTACCTTCCTGCTCATTGGCCTGTGGGGCTGGCAGATCATGTACCTGCGCGCCTACTTTAGGTTCGTCGGGTCCCCTCTTTGGTGTGCATGTACGGGTGGCTGGGATTGCTGACTTTTTTTTCTCTCGTTTCTCTACAAACAGGTCCAAGCATCTGATCTAGGGGACGAACGAAACTTGGGGAGCTGTTCGCGTCGGGCAGGACATGTACCGGATGGGCGTTGTGTTCCCGAGTGTGCGGAGTTGGCAAGCACAGGACGGCAAGCCCACGATTCACACGGGTTTTCAGGCGCCTCTGATTTTCATCCAGGGGTATCTCGTGGCCACGCAAGGTACTGTTATGGTTTTATATGTAGCTTGTACACTATGGGGTATAAAAAGCGCTTCGGTGTGTTTTTCCAACATGTCGCACATTAAACCAGCCCGACGTCGACATCCACCTAATGCAATTCCCGGCCAGGGGTGTTTTGGGGAGAATATTCGCATCACAGCCATGTTCTCTCACTCAACAACAACAGGTCATCATATTACAGTCGTTTTATTGGTACAGGTTTAACTATTAGCCCACTTGCTCCTCGTCGTTTCACTTGTTGGGCCTCTTCTTTTCTCTTCTTTGCATGTATCTTCCGAGAACTAAGGCGATTTGATAGAATACACATACATAGGCATAGCAGTTGGCTTTGAGAAGCCTCAACATTTGGAATATTAAATTATTCTTCCCGCAGGCCCTCGTCACAGTTCTGGCTTTGCAGACGGATAACAGCCCGGCACCGCTGCCCACCTCGCCGGTCCTGGGGCCTCAGGTCCAAGCTCAATATAGAGGTAAAGTTGGACGACAGGTTGTATAGCTGCACCCTCATACCTCTCGATGCGATCAACGAGGGGGAGGATAGCGCCCAGGCGGAGGACACGGCAGAGAGTGACGAGGCCGGTAGCAACGAGGCCGAGTCTTGGATGGCGGATGCGTGTTCTTGGGCAGACGAAATCCATCGTCATCCCTGCCGCTAGTTGACAACTCCACTTCTGTTAAACGTCGCTCTCTTCACACCCAATACTAGCCCCAACAGAAGCGGGTGTGCGATGGCGTCCACCTCTCGCAGTAGAAGTTGGGTAAGATCGACAACGACGCCGAGGGGTGAGCATCCAAGTGGGGCGATAACTTGGGGCAGATGGAGGTGATGTGCAGCATTTTGAGAAGATGTTTGTCAATAGCGTATTTACTCGCTACATATTGAAAACTGGGCAAGTTTCCTTGAGAGAGGCAACATAAAAGAAAATCAGGGATTAGAAACAAATTCATCAAGCTGGGGGAAGGGGAGTGCTCTGGACGGGTTCGATAGCCTCCCAGCCCTCCACTAAGCAAGCTCCATAAATTTGTGGTTGATATATGCATTAACAAGCTTTCCCATACGCTGAGTATCTAAGTCGACAGGAAATTTGGAAGGGTTGAAGGAGTTAGTAATCTGTTCCTCGATCCCAGCGAGAAAGTCCACTTCTGGACGGCTAAAGAGTAGCCATCTCACATTCTAGGAGAGGTTGAAGGAAGTCGAAATAAGATGGATGAGGTCCGATCGCCCTTCTTGGGTGCAATCATCGAGCGCGTCGACCACGAGGTACACAGGCGACAACTGAGAATCCTTCAACATACTCCGAAACGCTTCGGACAGAGCGATGAAGGCATTTTGGTCCCTAAAAAGATCGGCGTCTAACAGTTTGTACTTTTCCGGCAAATAGGATGCGAGGCGTGACCGCTGAAGAATGAGAAACCAGATCAAAGAGCAGAGGACAGCAGCCGCGTTATTCAAGGCTGCATCTGTGCCTTGGCGGAAGAAGAAGGAAAGCACTGGTGATAGGCAACAGATCGATGCGACAGTTGGCGAATGAGGCCGATCGTGAGCATCGTCTTTCCCGTGCCAGCGTGTCCTTTTATCCAGAGCAATCAACGTGGCAGACGGCCCAGATCCGCCATCGTCCCAGTTTGTGAACGGCTGCATACTTTGGGGTGCGAAGAAGTCATCGAGCAGCCCATCCTGCTCTTCTTGATCCGCTCTATGTCGTGTTGCGGATCAACAACGCGGAGATCTCTGCGGCGCGCTGCCTCGACACTATCCCTACGGGCGTCCTTCTGCAGCGAGATGAAGTTCCGAATGTTCTGATGGCTGTCGCCGAGTCGTCTTGGCCATTTTTGTGGTGCCGACCTCAACGCACGCTGTGTCTACTCCGAGCCTGTGTATCAAGGGGGATAGACGGGGCTCCTGCCGAGCTTCCTAACAGCGCAAACACGGAGGGACTGTGATGGTTGGCGCGCCCCATCAACACCGGCGTTATACGTTACCTTTTTTTGGTCCATTCCCTGGCGTGACACGCAGGCGGTTTGTTTTACAGTGCCTTGAGAAATGAACTTTGTTTGGGAATTCTCAAAAGAGGAGCTCCATAGAGCTACTCGCATGTTAGAAGCAAAACACTCTTCGTTGTGAGTCAACTTGACCCGAGAATGGAGACACTTCCTCATGCCCCTTTTTTTATGCTGCCGGCTGCGTCGCCAGCCATTCCTCGTGCCTCGTCTTCTGTTTCTCCCACTCCTTGATCAGCTTTTTGTGCCTGCTCTTGGACACCACGTTCCCCACCGCGTCCACGGTCGGGATGCCCCTCTCGTCCCATTCCAAGTACTCGCCCGAGGTCTTGAACATCAACAGGGGGTCAACCTTGGCACGCTCGCGCAGCTCCTTCTCCGCCTCGGCCTCCCTGGCCTTCTGTTCCAGCTTGGCCTTGGCTTTGGCAGCGCCAGCAGATTCCTGTTCCGCGCGCGCCTCGACCAACAGCTTATCAAGGGGTCGTACTAAAGCAGGATGGGGGCTGCTGCGGTCCTCGAGATAGATGCCGAGGTTCCAGAGGTGCACATCGCGGAGCTGGTCGCACAAGGCGAGCAGGTCTTTGGCCGGCGCTTGCCGAGCCGCGAGGGCCTTGACGTCGGTGCGGAACTGCTGCAGCACCTCGCTGTATGGCTGGGAGGATTCGGCCACTGGGGTTGACGCCGCGCTCGTGGTTCCGTCAGCGAGTTTTGCAATGGCCGCATGATCGACCGAGCCGGAGCAGGCCAACGTCCGGACATTGTCGCGCAGCTGCGATGCGGGGTAGACGTAGGGCTTTGCTGGCGCGGGGATATCGAGGCCCGACCACCCTATACGATCCGGATTGCTAAAATCTCCCTCGAGATCCAAACCGAAGATGGTGACAATGCGTGTCACCCACCGGGCGAGTGAGATGACGGTCTGGTCGGAAAGTGCCTCTGCCGAGTTCGACTCGGTGACAAGATCAGAGAGGATTCTCATAACGGCAGCGGTGTTGAAGGAATCGCACAGAGCTGCATCGACTTCGTTCTTCGCCTTGTCCAGGGCCATCAACAACTGCTTGTCTGCGATTCCAAGTTCTTGCCCTGTCGTCTCGGGGCGGGAATGCTTCCAAATGCCCAAGCTCTTCAGAAAAAAATTGTTGAGCTTGCCTTCCCAGCCGACCACAGCCTTCATTAGCTCGTTTGTTACCTCAATCCCATCCTGCCAAGGCATGAGGAGGAAGCAAATCCGGAGTGAACGTGCACTCCACTCGTTCTGGGAGAGAACAGTCCGGATGGTCGTGTAGTTCTTGAGGCTCTTGCTCATCTTCAACCCTCGAATCCTGCTATCAATTAGCACCCTCGCACGACGGAATCAGCATTCGAACCCTCTTACCGCAATTGTCCCATGTGAACAAAGTAATTCGTCCACTGCACCGAGCAGCCTGGAGTCGACAAGTACGCTTCCGACTGTGCAAGTTCGTTGTCATGATGAGGGAAGCGAAGATCGACGCCTCCTGAATGGATGTCCATCGTCTTCCCAATCGCTTCCGAAGCCATTGCAGAGCACTCGATATGCCACCCTGGCCGCCCACGACCCCACGGACTCGGCCATGCTGGCTCGCCCGGCTTGCTGGCTTTCCACAGCGCAAAATGATTCTCGCTCCGCTTCATCGACTTTCCCTTGGACAGTGAACCTTCACCATCGGCTTGGAGGGCGCGGTCGTTCTTGTTCCACGGTTCCAGACGGGAGTAGCTATGCCCGGCCTTCTCGAACGAGTGGATGTCGAAGTAGACGGAGCCGTCAGGTGTAGCGTACCCGAAACCGTTTGCCACAATCTTCTCAACGAAGCGGACAATCTGGGGGACGTACTCGGTCACACGAGTCAGTTGGTCGGGAGGCAGGACGTTGAGCGCGTTCATGTCCTCAAAGAAGCGGCGTTCGAATTTCTGGCTCAGCTCCATGAAGACCTGGTGGTTGTTGGAATCCAGCTCGGCACCATGCAAGGAATCGAGAAATGGGAGCAAAACATCATCCGTCTTGGCGAAAAATTCGGGTAGCGCTCCTGGGGCTTGCAGAGCCTCGGCAGCCGACCGTGCCGTTCCGATGTGGGCTCTCAACAGCAAATCGGCGACGGTAACAGCTTGGCCCTCCTGTACCGTCGCAGCGTCCGCCGGAGGTGGAAGTTCGACCTTGTCCTTGTATGTCTTGTCCACTGCTTCGGAAAAGGTCTCTGGGCTCGTATCCGAGGGCAGCAACGGAAGGTTCTTGCCAATGTAGTGCCGGAATGCGGCTTTGGCCTCGGCCAAGACTGCGTCGCTCACCGGGTCGTCCTCGGTGGCATGGTCCTGCTTAAAGCACGCGAGCAGGTGCTGCTTACGGGCCTGGAGAATGATCTTGTCGTCGATGTCGGTTATATTCATCGCGAACTTGACATGAAAGCCGAAGTAGTCCTTCATGATGCGTCGGATGATGTCGGTCGACACGTAATTCTTGGCGTGGCCCAGATGGGCATCTTCGTACACAGTCGGGCCACAGGCGTACCACGTCACCACCTTCCCCGTCGGATCGACTGGGACAAAGTCATCCTTGCTCCTCGTCAAGCTGTTGTAGATCTTCAGTTGTGGGAGCTGGGTGTCAGGTCGAGCTTGGGAGGGGCCCATGGCGGCTGCTTGCGAGCGTCGGATGCCATGCTGTGTACGCTCAACTATTCGAGGTTGTTAGCGTCCAAGAGCATTTGTCAACGAAAGAATGAGAATGGTACTTTTGGCAGGATAAAGGAGACAATATGACTCAGGAACGTGATAGAATCAACGTTACTGATCCAATTTTACTTTGGCTGTTGGTATCCCCGTTAGGCCCAGGTCGCCCGGATAGGAATGTAATCGGCAAAGGCACCCTTGTTTGTTGTCGTGACTTGGTACGGATTTGCAGGGGTGCGTTGGAGCTCGCCCTACGTAATTTTTGCAGTGAATTCAAGCACGACGTGCCGCTTTGTGACAATGACTTGTGCTGGTACTTCTACTACGGGCTAAACAAGGCGCACGCGGAAGTACCGAAAAAATAAACGTGAGATTAGCAGCCGGGGGCCAAATGGCACTCGAGTGGATCTGGCAGACTGAGGTAGAGAAATGACTCACCCGAGCAATCTGATTCCCCTCATTCTCCGCTCTCGGCAAACTCCGCCTAAACTGCCAACTGCTCGAGTAACTGCCTTCTCCTGCTGGGATATGGCACTGGAGCTTTTCGCCGGGTAGATGACTTTGATACCGAGATAACGCGTCAAGTTATTCGAGGTCGTGATGGATGAGAGCAACGTGTTTATGAAGCGTGTTGCAGTCACAAGGTCAGGTCTGAGCAGTGCGCTGTATTGGCGAAAAGCCTGCCTCGTCTGACGAACAGAAGGGGGGGAGTGGCCGACGAATCACCACCCCGGACTGCCGGGTCCTGAAGTCTACTGCGACCTGTACGTACTGGCTGCTCCTCCGTTCATCTTTCCAATAACGACAATTATATGACCGCAAGCAGCCTCATTCTCCCTCCCGATTTCTCAAGGCAAGCCCGTCATGCCGTTGGCCTACCTCCTGCGGCTGCATGGTACACGTGCACGACGCTGAAAATCGAATTGTATTTTTTTCCGTTATTGTTTTTTTGTGTGTTAAACATGATAACGGTACTATTAATCCCGACGTTTCGCCCCAAGCTTTTTTTTACACCCTAAACAACCTTTTAGACTTTTGATCCCCGTCCGACGTCGGCGTCCACGGCTCCATCTCGTACTCGTCCCGGCCCCGCCCCGCAAGCGAGGTGGCCGAGTCACCCCTGGGCCTAATGGCGGCAGTGGTGTATGGCGGTTTTGTCGGCTGCTGCTGGAAGCCCTGCTCCTTCGCCGCCGCGCCCGCCCACGCCTCCTCGTTGAGCTTTTGGAAGGCGCTGGGGCTGTGCCGGAGCGGGCGGGAGTTGGACCGGGAGTGGCCGGCGGCGCTCTGGGCGCGCTTCTGTGACGAGTTCATGTTGTTGGAACCGGTGTTGGCCTGAGAGGTCGTCTTCACGGAGCTCAGGAGGCCGGGGACCTTTTGAAGGAGTGGGCGCAGGGTAGGCAGGCTGCCGCAAATGATGGCGCAGGCGACTTCGATAATGGACCAGGTCACGACGTCAACATTGTCCCCTAAAAGTAACGAAACCCGCGGTCAGCATCGTATCAACGGTGGTTATAATAAGACTCGCATTTTGGCCGACTTACAGGTAGAGTCGAAAGAGTTTGTAAAGGAAACAATGTACTTCAGGCGCACCATACTCGTCACGCAAGCGCTGGAGAATTATAAAGGTCAGCAGGGTCCGCCCGATTATGCCAGCCTAGCCATGAATCCCGACTTACAAAGAACCGATGCTGAACATTAGCACCACTGCAATCTTCTTCTGCAGGGTCAGCTGCAGTCGAAACACCTCCCTAACCGGCAGAAACAAGATAACGAGGTCCTCGACGATACTGAGGATGGCGCCGGCCCAGGTGACGGCCGTGATGTTGAGACATTTCGCTTGGATCCCCCTTTCCCAGACCGCCTGCACCGGGATGCACTGTAGGATGACAATGATTATAAAGATGAGGCCGTGGCCGACGACGAAAATATTACAGGCCAGCACGGAACGGCGCAGCCAGGTTGCGGTGAAGATGCGGCCGAACAGGACCAGGATCGAGACCTTGGCGGCAACCTGTATGAGGATGTAGAGGATTTGGGCCGTGTAAAAGATCTGTTTTTGGTGGCTGTTAGAACTGGCACAAGGATCCTTGGGAGAACGGAATCACGGTTCCACGAGGTTGCTCACCTGGAAGATTGGCGCTGCGTTGGCTGGTTGGACGTTCCAATAATGAAGTCCGAAGCCAAGACTAGCGCCTGTATACCACTTGTTAATATTGACATGCCCCCCCGCTGTAGTAAAGTCGCGCGGAGAGCCCCCGCCAAGGGACAAACGCACCAACTATCTTAACCGAACAGAGGGCGATGAGTAGGACTGTCGCGAGTAGAGCCGTCCAGTCATCTAACCAGAGACGGCTGGAGACGGTCCACCTGGCGATGCATCGCAGCAGGACGATGAAGGCCGTCAAGGCCAGGCAAACAACTGCCGTCAGCTTAACCTCGAAACCCCTGGACTCCTTTGGGAACGCGGCGCAGAGTTCCCCGAGCAGACCGGCTGCCTCTGTAAAGAACCAACATGGGTCGCATTAGACGTCTGCTCTTCGGGGCTTGGACCAAAACTCTCGGGACGGGGAAGACAAGTCGCGTACTGATTTGGTCGGTGACGTTGCACGACTGCTGGACGCATGCGGACAGGGTCGCCTGCAGCGTTAGGTTGGTGCAGGCGCAGTTGGGTATTGTCGACGGCGCCGCAAGGCTGCAGTTACCGTCCTGCAGTCCTTGGAAGAGGCAGGGCGTCTGTGTGTGAGGTGAGGCAGAGCAAAAAACACGTTGAGCGAGTCAGCGGGATGCCGTTCGCTAAAGGGATCGGGCATGAAAATGGAGAGTGACCCTTCGATTTCGGATTAACGACCCATTGTTCCCCCGCAGAGACCCGAAAGGACAAATTAAAAGGAAACATCAATGAACGGACGGACAAAGCACTTACAGCACATTGCGGCGTTGCCAAAAGCAGTGCGGAAATGCCCTGGGCGGCAGCCAGCGGTGCTGATACCGCTGCCAAAGTTACTGCCAGGAGCGCGGCGAGATGAGCTCTCATCATGCGTTTATGGGCGGAAAAGACAAGCAAAAGGATTGGCACGCATGGATGGGCATGTTGAGGGGAAGAAGGGAAGAAGGGAAGAAGCAAAGAAGAGGGCAGGAAGGGGGGGGGAAAAGGGGGACGATGTATGGGAAACCAAGCTCCCGGAACATTGCGTGCACCCTCTTGCCCGCCTCCCACAGCGGAGCTAAACAGCAACGGCCTTAACCCAACTCGAAACATCCGATACCATGTATGTCAGCGTTCGCGTCTAGAACCATGGGGGAGATGGACGAGCTGAGAGTAGGTAGGTATCTGCAAGCCATGTTTGCGCCGCCAACATGAGGGCCTAGTACATAAATGGCCGGCTGCGGGCCCCCCCTTTTTCGTATCCAAGGAAAACGGCGAACACATGGCTCCCCGGGGGGAGGAGGAGGTTCGGCGAGACACATGGGAAGCTAGGTTAGCCTAAGCCGGCGGCGGTGGGCGGGTCCGCCCTGCGTGGGTTACTAGCGTATGTGCTCAGTGCTGCAGTGTCCTTTGTATATTCTTCGGGGGTGTGTGGGCTATCGAGTAATTCGCTCGAGGTTCGTGCCTTGCGCTAGTGTCGCCACACCGGCCTTTATCCCGGGGCAATCGCTCTTTACGTGCAAGTGTGGCCCTTGGCGCATCAGTCATGTTTTCCTCCCCGCAGACCCAAACCGCTTTCCCACCATGCTGCCCCATGTCCCCCCTAAGCAGTGGCGCCGGGACGGGTTGCTGCCTCGCCCAGGCGAGGTAGGCATGCCAGGCGCACCTAGGCCTAAGGCAGCCCATTGACAGACATCAACAGGAGACACCCTTGGATGGCCTAGCTTTTGCGGTGAAACGCGAAGCGCAACTAGAAACCGTCCCTCGCCGGTTTTTGGGGCTGTTCCCACGTGGCGAATCCCTCACCCGTGCGTACAAACGACAGTATCCCCTGCGTCTCGTGTGTGTTGTGTTCGTGCACGGTTCGGGCAGGTCTGTTGGGGACCGCAGGGTTTTGCCCCGCAATCACCTCAGGGGTAGCATCTGCCAAAGAAGCGAGGGAGGAGATGGACCTCTCGTTACGGAAGCCGCTTCGCGCTCCAACGATCTCGCCAGGTGACATGGAATCTGCATCTGCATGCTTGGGGGTGTGATCAATGGACCTCGAGTGATAGCCGTCACCTGCATCTCCTACCCTCTCTGCTGCGAGGGATCTCACGGGATCCTTCGACTGCGTGCCCGCGACAAGCTACCCGGCGTCACATCACACTCGTTTTCCTGCTGGATCCCAGCCCATTTTCCCGATATGAAGGCGTCCGGGTATCTGTTTTCGAGGTGCTACCCAATAGCCGCAATCGCATCCGATGCAAAACAAGCACCTCGTCGGGTTTCGGCTCCCTCTGCAGGTCCAATTCCGAAAAGGACTGCGGTATAAAGATATCCGTGGATTGGACAAGCTTGGACGAATCTATAAGAGTGATTTCGATGTTTTTCTGCCCGCATCTCATAATGTCCTTGTCATTTTGCCATCGCGTCCAGTTGCGAGCGTGGTCCCAGTTGAAAAACGTAGACTGGAAGCAGCTGTTCTGTTTGGGGTTCCAGTCGAGGTGGCTTTGGACAGCTTCCGTCAGGTCCTGCTGGCTCAAGAACTGACGGGTGCTGTCACGCGCGACGAGGCCCCCCGTCTCATTGTCCTCATACGCCTTAGTGTTGCAATGGACCACCCGCCAAAGTCTGGGCGGAGGCTGGGTGCACCAGTATGCGTCAGTGTTGAACGAGTTTGACATGGTGATGTAGAATTTGGACCTGGAGAAGAAGCAGTCGCTGTTTTCCCCGACCTGTAAGGATATGATTGCCTTGAGCAGTTGCCCTTCTGGGAAGATCGGGGACCCACTCTCCCGGTGGGCCCCGCCATAAGATGACCACGCGCCTCCCAATTGGGCTTATCCCAATTGGGCACGCGAGGGCTTCCCGGGCATCAACTTTGGCACTACTTTATGAGACCCCTAGAGATCATCACAAAAGGGCTGGGCACCACTCCCTTATATACATCTCTAAACACCACCACCCTCGGACACCATGTATACACCATCTTTGCGCGGGGCACTGCCCCAATAAAGGCACCTAGCTCTTGGCACTTTGTGTTGGTGCGGAGGCTCTCTACCGCCGCACCTGGACTTGACTTGGCCAGGAACAGGAGGATGGCAGGCGGACTACCTAACTCGGGCCAAAATGCTAATTAACCCGATTGGGACAGCTGGCCAAAGATTTCGGGAGAGGCTACCTATGTACCATCTGCGAGGGAAAGAAAGAGGAAAAAAAAGGAGAGAAATCGAGAAAAGCTTTCAAAGGACGAGAAATTCTTGAAGTCTCGTATATCCCCCCAAGTCACCACGACCCCTGCGATCTCCAGTTTCAAACCCCCTGTTACCCCCTGTTACTGTTACCCCCCTGTTACTGGGTGGGTTTTTCCTCTTTCTTTCCCTCGCAGATGGTATACGGAAGTGTCAGGCAAAAGTTTTCGCCGTGGGGCCGGGGTATGCCACGACTAATAGCAACGCATAGAAGTTCATAATTAACATATTCTTACAGCACTAAACCTATAACTGATTTTTGAAAAATGTATAAGCTAGGTATCACGGCCTTTAAGGCCCCTGTAGAATATGAAGCTATTCGCACGGGCGATTGCCTTAAGCAGTCCTCTTGGGAGGATCGGGGACCCACTCTTCTGGTGGGCCCCGCCCTAACCCTGTCAGGTGACCACGCGCCTCCCAATTGGGCTTATCCCAATTGGGCACGCGGGGGCCTCCGGCAGGCGATCCCTCAACTTTTGCACTACTTTCCATGACCCTAGAGATCATCACACTAGGCCTTATTTGGTAGGAGCTGAACACGCCCTGCCCTGGTCGATACATGCCCCACGGCGAAAACTTTTGCCTGACACCTCCGTCAGCCATCACGCGGCTGCTACATTGCATTTACCACGACCCATCGGCCCCACATACCTATCGTGGCTAGTGAATCCACAACAGGCAGTCCCTCCAACCGCATCATATACCTGGGTACCTAATCACTCAAACATTAGCCCATGTTGTGACTTGTCTCTGGACTTGACTTGTGCCGCAATCTTTCGCGCCATCGTTTGAGCCAGGCTCAGCTTTATCCGTCAAACTGGGCACTGAATTTACCCGCCAGCTCCTTCAATTCCATGTTGTCGTTAACAGCCCTTATCAAAACGCTCGACTGGACCACCTTGTCGAGGTTGGTCCCGTCTCGGCTGGTGAAGACGTTGGTCATGACGCGGTCCATGAACTTGGCTACGTCCTTGGGGATGGCGAGCTTCTCTCTGCGCATGCAAAAGAGGACCAGGGCGGCCAGGCCCGAGGCCAAGGCGGTGGCGCCCGAGTTGCCGGCTTGGTAGGTGGTAGGGCTCTTGTCGATGTCGACAAACAGGTACTCGCCCGGGAAGTAGTAGTCGACCCCCCTCTGGACCACGTACGGCTGGATGCCGTTGTACCGGTCAGTGGCCCCAATGCTGCGCGTCTCGGGCCAGCCGCACGGCAGCCATTCATTGTCGGACCGGCTGTTGCCCATGTTGTCCCCGGCCGCGCAGAACATGAGGATGTTCGCCTTGGACGCATTGTCGATGGACGTCTTTAGGGCTTCAATGTCGTCGGCTTGGTTCCCTTTCTTCTCGGAGAGCTTCCTGACGCTCCAGCTCATGGAGATGATGTCCACCTTGCAACGGACCGCCCAGTCTATGGCCTAAGGCGCTGCTAGGTCAGCCCAACTCGCATCGAGAGGGTGGGAAGAATTCTAGTTTTGGCTTGGGGTGGAGGGGAGGGGGGAGGACCTACGTCCTTGGCCTGCTTCAAGCTGAAGCTGCGCTGCCTCAGGCCGTTGTCCGACTCGTAGGTGAGCTTGCCCACGTAGATTCTAACATGGGGACAAACTGACTTGATGAGCCAGGCAAGCTTGCTGCCATGCTGCTTGGACGACAGGAACAAGGGCTTGGGGTCGCTTGAGCTGTCCCGCGGCCACCTTGGATGTGCCAGGTAGCGACCGACCCCATGGAAGGTGGGGTCGACACCATCGTCCAGCAAGGCTATCTTGACCAGCTGGTCGCGGCCGGGCGGCCTTTCCGAAATCCCATCCAGGTTCACGAGCCACTCGCCCATCGCCTTGGCCGCCTTGATCCACGGATGCGGCAGACTAGGTAGGCAGGCTAGTTAGCTCCGGCTGCTTTCCTTACGAGCGGACAAATTGCGCCGCGCATGCAAGACGGAGAAACGGAAGAGGGTTGGGGAGCTGACGTGGAATCGTTCGAGTCGTCCGAACGACCTTCGGCCCCGCTGGACGCCTGCGGCTTCTTGTTCTTGTCGGCCGGGATTACTTTCCGTAGCGCCCTGTCCGATTCCGGCTGGCCCGGATTGCTGACAACAACGAGGTCCTTCAGTAGCTGGACGCCAGCCTCTTCGCGGCCCTGCAGTTGGTTCGTCAGCCTCTGCGTTATGGACGTCTTTGTATTCCCCCCCCCGGGCGAAGCTCACCGGCCTGGCGTGGAGGCGGATAGTGCGCAGCTGTAGCGACCGGTAACAGTCAGAACGGGCTGGCGCCTTAGGTGATAAAACCCGAGGGTTAGCGGATACGAACGCTCTTGAGAATGCTCAGCCCCTTGGTGTCCAGCCAACCGCTCATGACGGCCCGCAGGCCACTCCAGTACAGGTCGAGCTCGACCAGCTCCTTGGCCTTTCCTAGCGTCTCGGCCGCCAGATCTGGCGTGTTCCAGTCCAGGTAGCGAATCTCGAGGCCGTCGAGGCATTTTTCCACCGTCTCGTCGCTGCAAGGCCGCTCCTTGTTGTCAAGCACGACCAGCTTGAGTATTGACCTCACTCCCTTTCCTGGAGCCCTGGGGCTGTCTTTGCGGCCCTTGAGCCACTTGAAGACATTGATGATGTTGAGTTGGTCCGATTTCCAAACTTCATCCAACGACCCAACAACTCGATCGCGGTTATATTCGAGGCTCAGGACGACTTTGGCCATTTCGGGCGCGAACTGGAGATAGTTGAAGTTGGAGGTAGTAGTATGGGAGATGCGCTGCGTCTTCCCGTCCAAGATGAAAAATACATCGAGGTCGGCCTCGGCTGCAGTAGCCAGAGGAAGCTTGTCAACAGTTTCGCCGTCCAAAGAAATGCCCTATGGCTTCACGGTTGGCCGGCAAGGTAATAAAGAACAAATGGGAAAAGAAATGGGCACAGAGGACTAGACTAACCCTGACAGGTGGGTGCCGTGGCGGCTTTCTGGCTCGGAAAGAGACATTGGTACGCCTTTTCATACCCACCCAGCTCGAACACCTCGCGCTGACAGAGGTTGGTAATCTCTATGGCTAACAAATCCGTCCGTAGATGATGGAGCTCGTGTGAGGACACCGAACCCTGCATAGGGGCCTTCTTGTTGGCCGGGCTGGCCTGGTTGCCCTGCAAAGCGATGGAGGGCTCTGTATTCTTCCCACTGTCGGAGGCGCCCTTGCCCTTCGCAATAGCGGAGACATCGGACGGCTTCAGAGCTCCCCTCTCCCCCGGCCCGCCCAGACTAGTGTTCGTGGATCTAGCGGCCGCCTCTGCAGCCTTGGTGGCGTCGCGCGTGAAGTAAAGGTATGGCGACTGGCCGGTCGAGTTGTGCACGGTCAAGGCATGACTGTCGCGCTGCAGGAGCTTCTCCAAGATGCGCAGCCGGCGGGCTCTCGTCTCGAGGAAGGTCTGGGCGGCCGCCTTGCAGGTGCTGCACGCGTTGGCCCCAAGCTCCGAGGACGAGGGGGGCAGGGTCGGCCGCCGGGTGAGCGGTTGGCCGGCCTTGTTTGCCTGGCCGGCCGGGCCACTTGCATCCGGCCGCGGTGCCTGCACCTGGGCCCTGTGCTGGTTCGGCTGGGCGGACGTGACCGGTGCCGCCTGGTCGGGCATGACCGCCTTGAAGAGCCAGCGCACTGCCGGTGGACACCCCGGGAAGGCAGGGTAGCATTTCGAGTGGTGCAGGGCGTCGTGCAAGGGCGTGTTCCCGTCATGTTCCTCGCGCGGCCCTTCCCACTGCTGGGGTGCGGGAGGGCTCTTGGGCAGGCTTTGGCACTGAAAGATCTCGATGTGCGCGAGGTCGATCATCTCCTCGACTCCGTCCAGGTCCTTCCGGATGGCTTGATGGAGACATGTCTCGCCGGCCGCGTTCTGCGTGGATATCGCGTCGGCCGCTTCGCGTTGGTCCAAGACGCTGCATAGGAATCTAGCGAGGTCCGAGGGCTCTTCGTCCTTCTTGGACCCGATGTCAAATTCGATGGCCATGAACAAGGGATGTTGTCCCCCGCTGGGACGCAACAGTGGAAGCCGTCGTTCTCTCTCCTTGTTCGTCTCCAGGATAAGCTGAACCAGGAGCTTGGCCCGATGGAGCGGGTTTTTGTTCAAGAAGCTATCGGTTTTTCCGAGCACGTATTGCAACAAGTTGACAGCTTCAGCCGCGTCCTGGCCGCCTCGGTGCAAGCGCGACTCCATCTCCAGACAGTCTCGGATTCGGGCGCGCACGGCGGACTCAGCCTCGGGCACCAGGGCCCCTGAAGCCGAGAGCGACGCGTCTGCGATCATTCCTATAACATCTTTTCTAGCACGCAGAAGGTTGGTGGGGTTTATATCGTCTGCATCGCTGCCGACGCTGACGGGTTCGGGCTGAGCGCTCTGGATGTTGGCTATCGCATATTCGTCCACGGTGGTGCTGGCTTCGCCAAAGTCGCCGTAGACGTCCTGGAAGCTCTGCCAGAATTGGGCCATGGCCGCGACAGAATCCACACTCGAGCGATGGCCGATCCTATGGGGAGAGTCGAAAGTCCGAGGTGGTAGACTCTGAGGCACGTCGAGTCGCGAGCTAGGCGCTGGTCGCGGCAGAGCTGAGAAGGCTGCCTACTGCTACATATTACTTGTCATACCTGCCATAACCCGTCTCTGAACGTGGTCGGGCGAATCGTTCATGCCGAACCTCCAATGCCTGAGGGCCCCTGTACGCGGGGTCGAGGGGTCGTGGTAAGCGGTATACGCAATGTAACCAGCCACGTGATGGCTCATACATAGGTAGGAAGGTACCCCTCTCGGCGTCCTGTTGGCCGGCCCGGCCCCGAGGCTGCGTGACACGTCACCTCGCGCCTCAGCCGACAGCACGCCCCGTCTCTCCCGTTGTCTCGCCCACCCCGCCGCGTACGCCGTCTTTCCTCACGGCTTCGGCCGACGTCGGCTCGGGGGTGACAGCCCGGTTCTAACGTCACCCGTGATTGCAAACACAGTTGTGCAATGGCGCCGCTGGGTTTCCAGGTCGAGGCGGCGCCGATCGCTAACCTCCCGGAATGCCTGAGGGGCGAAGTCATCGAAGGCGCCAGCGAGGCGGGTCCTCCAGATCCGTATGTTGGGCCGTTGAGGTATACGAGGTGGCGACCGACATAAACTGACCCCATCTAGGGTCATCATACAGGTGCATGGCCTCGCGGGAGCGCGCTGTCAGCCCTCCAGCCTGGAACTCCACAGTCAACGGCCCTCCAGCTTCCGTAGACTGTGGGCGGACGTGGTGGGCGAGGCTGCCACGTCAACCGGTCTGGAGGATGCTGCACTGAAACTGCTCTTCGGACTCCAAGCCTATGTAAGTGCCCACTGCTTACTACCCGGTTGAGTTTGTCTGCTGAGCAAAGGACTCCCCGTTAATGACCGACACGACTATCTAGGCTTTAAAGGGAGGTTCTCTGGTCTTTCTCGCTCATGACTTGGGAGGCTCGATTTTGAAGATGGTGAGTTTGAAAAGGCCGCATGTGGTGGGGTTTAGATACTACATACTTACTTTGAGCCCAAGGCTCTCGTGCTTGCTGCGAAGGATCCCAGTTATCGAGGCATCCTCGACAAAACATGCTGCCTCGTGAGTGCAGTTCCCCCCGGGTCAAGCACCCCTTGGTCCTTTCTGCTGGCATGTGCACACTCAAACATAAGACCAGGTCTTCTTCGAGACGCCGCACCGCAGCTCGCATGATAACAGCTGGCCAACCCTTCTGTTGGGCGTTCTCGAGTCTCGCTACAGTGGCCGACTCGGCCATTGGCTCCCTAAGGCCCTTGGCCAACTATCCTCCCAGCACGAGGGTCTGGCCAGCGAGTTCAATGCCCTGCCAGAAACGTTTCGCATCATCAGCCACTATCGGGACCCGAGGTATATGCCCGACGATCTTTGGGTGAGTTGCCCCGCAAACGTTCTCAGCCGCCAAACTCAAAAACCTTTTCCTATAGCTCGCTACCTAGAGGCTTTTGGAATATCCGGCTGACTTTATGCCTAACCACGGGACCAGTTTATGCCAAAGGAGTGTGCAACGCTAGGACTAGCAAATGAAGAGCGCGTCGGGGTCGACCAGCCCTACGGCTGCCCCTGCGAATACATGCCGCAGAGCGAGGTAACCCAGCTGGGCAGGCAACTACGGGATGCCACAATGGGTATGCCAAATCCCATGCCTTCGTATCAGACGCTGCGCGTGGACTGATTAGAAGCTTCGGCCTTGCACAGCTCAGTGGAAACCGTATCGGGCCTTTTTGCGGCTGCTATCTCATCATGAGCTCGAACCTCGACAGGAACCCTTACCGTTCGAACAATATTGCCACCTCGCCGCGAGTCTTCTTGAAATGCCAAGGGTGGCCGAATGGATCTCGTTAAGGCGCCAACCGGACACGATCCTGCGGCTGGCACTAGGACGGAGTCTAAGCCCGGCTGGCGTGTTGAATGCCCTCGGAAAGTCGCTGAGGGCCCATTCTCCAAGTCACCAATGCGTGCTCCTCGTCTCTGGCACAGAGCCGCCCAAGCTAGGGCCAACAGACGAAGCACAGGTTTACTCGGCCCTCATCCGGCAATTCCTCCAGCAGGAGCCTCGTCTGTACCTCGCGATCCGTCACCTGCAGCCCATCCTCCTGGACTCAGTGGCCTCCCAAAGCCGCCAATGGAGAAGCCGCACGCTATGGCGCTGTCTCAAGACGCTGCTACACGCCCCTCGGCAGACGCAGTCGTACTGTCTCATCAATGCGGATGCGTCCAGCCTACAAGCCGAGGTCCTACGCCGCGTGATCCTGGCAGCCCAACGTACCGAGATCCCGCTGCGAATAATTGTTGCGGCGGAGAGATTCTCGCACGTGCCGCTGGAATCCAGTCCATGTTTCGATTTGGACTTGAAGGCGGCGGAATTCGCAGAATACATCAGGAAAGACCTCGGGGAATTGGCCACGGCCGCCGCCCTAAAGCAGCCTTCGCAGCTCTTGGTGGCGGCGTGCGACGCTCTCGTTGACAAGTTGTCGTCTTCGACTGACTACAGACAGTCAGAGATTTTCCTGCGTATGGGCATCCCCCACGCCTTGGATGCCGATATCTCTCGGATATGGACGGCGTGTGCGACACCTGACGCGGCTGTGGCGATCAGGCTGGCAAGCAACGAGTATGGGACTTTTATCACCAGAGCCGTGTTCTGGGTGGCTCACGCAACAGAGCCCTTGTCCATTCCCGAGCTCGATGCCATTCTAGCATTCGAATGCACTCGGCGACCGGGCAATCCTTGGCCATCGACACACGGCAGCATAGCCAACTTGCCTGATATTCTCCCCGGGGTCGTGCAGATCTACAGCGGTCGGTTGGCGCTTTGTGGAGGCCTCCCCGCCCAGACGCTTGACGAGCTCTTCCGGACGACGCTCCAGGGCCATTCGGTCGCCTGTCCCTCGGCTGATACATACATCGCTCACGTGTGCCTCGAATACTTGATGAGCCACGTCTGGAAGCCTCCGATGGCTCTCGATCACAAACAGACAATGGCGCGGTATGCCGCTCGGCATTGGCTTTGCCATTATCGACGCGCCGGCCCTTGCCCGCCGGATGACCCCCTCTACTCGGCATTTGCCAGTGACGACGCGAACGTCGACCGCTGGATCGATCTTTTGGAATTCATCCTGCCAGAAGCCGGTCGGCAATATGGCAAGGGCAAGGGCGAGGGAGGCGAGAATAACCAGCGTCCTGACGGCAAGCAGCTTCGCGGTCGCCTTCACATCGATTCCTTCCGGATGCTGGAGGTGTGTCAGTGGCTATACCTCGGTCGGTCGTCCGAGGCGGTGCTGGACAGGCTACTCGTCATAGCTTCCGAGCGGACCGACCGGGAGCTTCTCCTGGCCCTCTGCATGGATTTGGCGACGTTCGACAAACAGGCGGTGATACGAGCCGTAGGGACTATGCCCTGGGAGCTCGGCGAGGGCGTTATGGCCAAAGCCGACGTGTTCGGGGATCCGCAGGAAAAGGCCGACGCCTACTTGACGGCAGTGGCATTGGGGAATACCAAAGCGGCAGATGGCATTTTTGCCCAACTGGTGAGCCAGCCGCCTCCAATGTGCTTCTCGAGAGCCCTCCAGATTGCCTGCGATTTTGACGATGCGGCGGCGGCCGAGTCGATCCTCGACGACGAGGGAGCCTGGGGCCCGATGGTGAGGGAGGCGAACCTTAAGGACTCGGGCTGGACGGTTGTGCACTCGGCTGCACAGAGCGGCCATGACAGCATCGTCGCCCGGCTTGGCGAGCTCGACGTTCGCATGGACACGCCAACCGCGGAAGCGGAAACGAGGCCGCTGCTCATCGCCGTCTCGCACGGCTTCACGCAGCTGGTCCATACCATGTTATCCTACACTGGCAAGGTCGACCGCAACCTCAACCTCCTCCCTGCTGATGGGCCCGGCACCAGTCCTCTGCACGTCGCCTCGCGTTACGGCTTTTATTCCCTCGTCCGCCTTCTGGTGTCAAACGGGGCTGACGCAGGCGCAAGGGACGCAAATCTAGACCTTCCGCTTCACCTTTCACTCCGAAACGGCCACAGACGGACTTCTTCGTATCTCTTGACCCAGCTTCGGGCCGCGCCTTCGAATGTCGAGGACGGGGAGATGCCTGTGGACATTGTTAGTCCCGACATCGGACACGGGGATATCGGTGTATTTGACCGGCCACTGTCCCGGAGTTTCTTGGACGACTGGGGCGTGTACGCAGAGATACAGGCGGGCGATGATGCGATATCCACAACCGGCGGCGCTGCCCGACGCGGCAGTGTAGCCGGAGCGGGACCCGGACCCGGACCCGGAGCGCCGGACGCGGCTAGTCTCGACAGCCCCGTCAACGCAGTCAACCGGGGCGGCATGACGATGCTCATGGAAGCGGTCAAGCACGACCGACACGACGGCGCATTTGTCCGTGCACTTGTGGACAAGGGTGCGCTCCTCTCCCTTTCCCCCGACGACAAGCCCACAGCGCTACATCTGGCGGCGCAGAGAGGTTCGGTCAGCCTGGTGCGCTATCTCGCCGACAAGGGGGCCAGCGTCGACGGAGCCTGCCTGAAGAACGGATTTACGCCGCTGCACTACGCCTGCTACTGGGGTCGGGCCGAGGCGGCCGAGGAGCTCTTGGGTCGCGATGCGAGTCTTAGCGCCACGGACAGCTCGGGTCGTACGCCGTTCGTGGCGGCCTGTCGCAGCGGCCAGGTGCACATGGTGAAGCTGCTGCTTCTGCGTGCTGCCCCTGCCGGCGACGGTGAGCGTCAGAGAGCGACTGTCGAGGCGGTCCGGCAATCCCGGACCATGGTGGTCGAGCTCCTCCTGGACTCGGGCTGCGACGCCAACGCGCGGGACATGCAGGGCTACTACAAAGACAGCCTGCTCCACATCGCCGCGTCCAACGGCCACGCCGGGCTCCTCCAGTTGCTGCTGCTGCGGGGCGCTAGGCACGACGCCGTGGACACGAAGGGGGGCCCGCCGCTGTTCGACGCCATCTGGAGCGACGTGGTCGATTCGGCACGGATGCTGCTCGAGGCCGGCGCGAACCCGGATGCCGAGAGACAAACCGACGAGACGCCTCTGTCGATAGCCATCTCCAGCAATAGGGCGCAGGTGGTGCGCATGTTGCTGCAGAGAGGCGCCAAGCTGAGGCGCCCGCCATCCTGGACCATGTGCGAGAACAATCTCGAGCTCGCGCTCGGGCAGTCGAGCACCAAGGTAGCCATCGTCCTGGTCGAGGCCTACACCCGGAGCGCCAGTGCTGGTGGTGGTGGTGGTGGTGTCGCGCCCGACGGGTGTACGGCAGCCAAGGCCCTGAGGTTGGCTGTCAAGTACCACTGCTTGCCGCTGCTCCGACCCATTCTGGACGAATGGGGTGGCGCCAACGACCTTATCGACCCAGACGACGACAACAACGACGGCATCGACGGCGACGGCACAGCATTGCATTTTGCCGCCTCGAGGGGTGAACTCGAGGCGATGGAGGTCATCCTGGAGGCCAAGACCACCGACGCCAACAGGGTGGCGGGCCGACATGGCACTGCACTTCAGGCCGCCGTCCTCGCCAATGACAAGCAGCTCGAGATGGTACGCATGCTCCTTGATCGCGGGGCCGACCCGCGCGTCGTCGGTGGCCCCCACGGCACCGCTCTCAACGCGGCCGCCTTCCGTCGTCTCCGAGACGTCGCCAGCCTTATCATCGAGCGGTGGCCGACAACGACAACAACCGGCTCCGCCGACGCCGACCGGTCCGCGCCGAGGAAGCACGGCACGCCATTGCAGGCGGCCCTCAGAGGCCTCGTCCACAGGCCACATGAGCGGGACGAGCCCATCGACAGCCTCCTGGACATCCTCTACAGGCACGACAGCTATCTCGGGGCGTGCGAGGGTCCCTCACGCCGGTCGCTGCTGCACATGGCCGCCCGGGCTCGATGCCCAGCCGCGGTCGAGTGGCTCCTGGCCCACGGGCTCCCCGCATCCACGGTCGACGCCGTGGGGCGGCGGCCCATGCACATCGCCATCCACGCCGGCGACTGGGAGGTGACGCGGCTGCTGCAGAAGGGCGACACCCGCCTCCACACGTCCGACTACCAGGGCCGGGGCGGCCAGCACTACGCGGCCGTGTCCGAATCGCCGCAGCTTGTAGAGGCCATGTCCCCCATCACCTTCTTCAAGAACAACGTGGGGCCGCCCGAAGACGCCGCCGCCCCACGCCCGGACCTGCTCCGCGAGGCCGTGAAAAGGCTGACCTCGATCTACTTCACCGCGCCCGACGCCGACGGCTGGACGCCGCTGCACTGGGCCTGCCGGAAGCGCGACAACCTCGTCGTCATCTCCTACCTGCTGGAAAACGGCGCCGACGTCAGGGCGAGGACCGAGTCCGGATGGACCCCGCGCCACGTGGCCATCTTCCACGACAACGGCGGCGACGAGACCCTCCGTCTACTCGGCAAATCCGACACCGACACCGACACCAACGTCGACGACGACGACGACGACAGTGATGAGGGAAGCGACTTACCCAAGGAGCCAGGCGCGGCGCACAGCGTCAGCTGCGAAGCCTGTTTCTGCGCAAGTTCTCCCCCCCCCCCCCCGAGTTTGGTGGTGCCATGCTCGAGGCACAGTTTTCTCAATGCCACCCAGGTGACGCTTGCGCCGCTAACGAATACTCCACTGACATTACACAGCCTATTTACGGTGAACGATACCGCTGCACCAAGGAGGCATGCGGTGACTTCAACCTGTGCTTCAAGTGCGCCAAACACGTCGACAGGATCCATCCCCGAGGGCACTTGATAGTGTCGGAAGGCGAGTGGGTCGAGGTGACGCAAGGAGAAACGAAATGATAGAAAAGGGAAAAAAGAATGTTTTTTTTCTCTCACTTGGGATCTTGGCTCTTCTCCCCCAAAAGCCTTGTGGAGGCCCTTGCTAGCTTCCATGGAATGCAGACCTAGGCAGCAGCAGCAGCGTTTCTTCTCGCTATGCTCGGGACTTTTCGGCGTTGGCACTTCTGGGATGTTAATCTATCCGCGCTACCCATGGGAGAAGATAATACCATTCGCACCACGAACATCCCGTGTTTTTATATAGGTACCGACGGGAGGCGGCCTGGCACGGCGGAAATGGCGGGTTTGCACTACATAAGCTAAAATGCCATGTTAATATAGTAGCAGAGGCTCTTATTGTGTGAGCAGAGTAGCTGCACATGCAAACTCTGAGCGTGACCGACCGAGGGACCGTCTTATTCCCCTTCTCTCAAGACCGCTATCGCCGGCCTCATGCTCCTTATGCCGCCCAGATCGTATGGATGCGCACCCTACAACGTTGCAATACGGGTGTACTTGATTGCTGCGTCGGTCCTGTGACGAGTTTACTTGTAGCTTTGAACCTCCATGTAATTTATTCACACCTATCAGACCCTTGCCGCTGTCTCGGTGTATCGAAACCCCGTAACAACACTGTTATGAACATACTGGTCCCAGATTCGGGCCACACTATAAAGCCATGAGAAACATGCACGTCGTCCTGGCCACGGCGACAAAACGCCCTTTCGAGAGAAGGGTCGTTTATTGGCTATCTCTAATTGGGCCGGCTGTAACACCCTCACCCAGCCGTTGCCCCCGCATTTTGCCCGCTACCACGCCATAAGCTCCAACTGAGTTTGTCCCTAGAGGCGCTTTTTCTTGTTCTTTTTGCGACACACTCGCAGTTCTCATCCGAATACACAATTGGGGCAGATTCCCATCGTTCCCCCTGTCCTTCATCAGCAATGGACGAGCAGGCTGAAGACATCAACCTCGATGGCTGGGATATCGGAATACCCCTCGTCGCAGACGACGGCAACGACAGCGGCTTCAGGTTCCCCATCAGGAACAAAAAGGGCGAGAACGAGCGGCTGACGGCCTCGGGTTGGGGCCGAGACCCCAGCATCACGGCAGTGCGCGGGCGGCTCTACCATGTGGTGCACGGCTATCTCGAGGACGGCGAGGGCACGCCGGCGACGCTCGTCGTCTTCGAATGGCTGCTGGTGCCGGGGAAGTTGGGCAAGCGCTTCCGCGAGGCCACCATCAAGGTCATCTTCGCCGCGACAGACCAGCGGCCGGGCATGCAGGCGACCGAGAGCCTGGCCGACTACGGGCCGGGCATCGAGGGCATGGCGCCCTCGCTCCCGCAGCAGTCGGACCCCATCACCTACACGGTCACGCAGAAGCGCGTCCTCAAGCTGGGCGGCAGTTTCGGCTACGCCCCCTACGCCTCCGTCTCGCCCGAGGTCTCGACCGAGACCGCCAAGGACGGCATCCAGCGCGTCGACTTCCGCCTGACGGCCGGCTACCCCTACTTCGCCGGCAAGACCACGGGCGACCGCAACGCCGCGTACTGGGCGCTGCACGAGAACGCGGTCAAGAAGAGCGGGCTGCCGCACATTGTGCGCACCGCCGTGCTGCTGGCGCGGCCCGAGGGCGACTTTGGCCGCTTCGCCGCCACCTTTGACACGGTAACCGACGTCTCGGTCTTCTCCAACCTGGCCGAGGGATTCCGAAGGGCCGTCGGCGAAGTCGGCGACGAGCCCGTCTACTTCGACCCCACGCCCAACCCGGAGGTGCCGCATGGGGCTGCCGTGCTGTACGGCAAGAAGATCAACCTCGGCAAGAAGACAAGTCCGTTTGACATGAACAATCTGGGTGCCGTGAACCTGGACAAGCAGCTTCTCGTCCAAGAGAGTGCGGACCCGGGCTTGCACGAGGCGGAGGCGACGGAACCTCGGTAGCGCCTATACCCGTTGGAGCAGACCGTAGAGCACAGTCGGGCGAGGAGGGCGCTGACGACTCGACGGCGATATGGCACCTGCGGCAAAACCGGACACAATGCGCGCATCTGTCAAGTAGAAGAATAAACGTCTGATGTATACAGTTCCAAGTAGCTTGAATGGATTCCTGGCGCTGTTGGGTTGGCATGCGCGCCGATTGTTAAAAATGAGCGGTTGGGTGTTGCATTCTTTTGGGTGGTGCACTCGCTTGTGAAACACGTTACGTGGAGTTGAAGTATTCCTTTAACTTCGTTGAGATGCCGCCGGCGGCTGGCGAGCCCGTAACGACTGCCTCTGGAAGAGCCGTGCCTACAACGTCAAGCCAGACTGGCCGTATCGAGATGTTTGCTCAATTCACGCCGACGCCAGACCAGGTGACGCATCAACTGTTCGGCGAGGTTTTGACGGCCACGAGGCCGACGTCGCCGGCTATATTCAACGTGGGAGACCGGCTTCCCATCTCGCTAGATTTTCTGCATATATATCGAGATGGTTTACTTCCATGCCCTCATTACATCCATCCCTCACTGTTACACAAGCCTACCGATGATGCCCTGCAACTACTTCCTTCAAATTACCACGTGTTTCCGCCGCCTCATCAAAATAAATAAAAAACAAAAAAGCGAGGTGATACATCGAATCGCCTTCGCAGTGATAGCCTTGCTGTTCTCTCGACAACAGCCCACCTCGCTCCACCATGCGCGACTTGAAAAGAGCGCGTCCCCGAAATCCACCTAGAACATTTCGGGTCCGGCCTTGACAGCCAGCGGCCGTCCCGCCTGCTTGAGCGTCCCGAGGGCAATGTCGAAGAGCTCGAGGTCACGGCCTGTTTTGCATGATTTTGGTAGTTAGAAGACTGATCGCGCCGGTTTCCCGCGTTTCCGCCTGGGCAATAGCTTACCGGGGCAAGCCAGGAGCGAGATTGCAACTGGGAGGTTTTCGGTCTTGCCCGTCACCTTGGACTCGAAAGCTGAGTAGCCGACTGGGGCAGAGGAGGAGGTGTGAGTTAGCAGCGGCGGAGATAGCTATGCAAAGGGACAGAGGAGTAGCTGCGACAGCCCTCTGCTCGAGAACAAAGTTGCGGCTGGGACTTACTTGGGATTGTCAACTCGGGCCCTCCGAGGATGGGCGAGAGGAAGAGGTTGGGCACGCCGACCGGGTTGAAGGGTTTCCTGGACGGGGCGGCCAGCCATCACCGCGGTTAGTTCTCCGGATAGAAATGAGATGGGGAGAGGCAAAGCATTATTGAAGGGGCTCCAGTGCATACAGCGGCGGATCGTCCCGGTACCGGGGCGAGATCTCCTCGATTGGGATGATGACGATGGCGTCTGTCTCACGCTCCTTTGCGACCTGCTCGAGGAACCACTTTTTGTAGACGTCGAGTCGCTTGAGGGCTTCATTGCGCTCCTCTTGGGTGATCTTGGAGGACAGTTCCCTGTGATGGGGAATTAGCGACCTATGTGGTGTGTATAAGAAGGATAGATGGCTGGCGTACCATTGCCAGCGGACCGGCGGGCTCACGTATGGCTGTCTATCGAATTTTTTCAAGTAGTCCTCGCGGAACTTGTCGAAGCTGTGGTAGTCGTCATAGAAGAATGAGTTGCGGCCGGCCTATGTAAGAGCCAGACATTGCGAGTGAGTATTTCTGCCCCTGGTGCCCGTTAGTGTAATCAGGCTGGGAATTCTCACGTCTTTCATATATTCTTGGTAGGAAGCCCCGTGAGCCTCGGCCGGAGGATCCTTGTCCCAGAGCTCCACGCACGAAACCTTCTTGTGCTCCACTCCCAGGTACTTCTCGAGATCGGCCACGAAAGAGCCGATGAGAGCCACCTGCGTCTCGTTCCCGATGAGTGAGATGTAGTCGGTCGGGTAGATGATGGCAGGCGTTCCCTAATTTTTTTTAATGTTGGTTAAACCAAGGAGACCGCGCGAGTATCACCGCATATACATGCATATACAAATATAGGGGAGCTTATTACGGTGGGCTTGGGGGCACGCAAATCGCTTCCGTACCACGACTGCGCAAAGTACTTGCAGTGCTCGAGGTCCCTCCCGAAGAAGGTCGGCACGTCGAATCGCCTTTGTGGCGAATGATGTATATTAGCATAGCGACGAGTAGGCCCCAGAAAGGGATTATTGATATGAAGCTTACCTAAAGCTTGGGATGTAGCCCTCGACAGGAAGCACCCCGTGGGTGGGCCGCATGGCGAAGCAGCCATTCCAGTGTCCCGGCCGTCTGCCGCTTCCGCTTGCTGCAGTGATTGGGAATGGAACGGTCAGTCATCAAAAGTCTTGGGTCAACAGTTTTCAAGCCTGAAGTGGTCGGAATAAAAACTGACTGTCGGAACCGATGGTGATGTCGAGCCATTCGTAGGCGCTGCACGCGGCACCGCTGCCGCTGCTGCTCCCGGCGGGCGACTGGTAGCCGTCGGCGCGCGGGTTCCAGGGGGCCTGGTAGTCGATGCACTCGACGGGCTCCTCGGTAGCGGCGAAGGAGGCGAGCTTGGTGGTGCCGACGACGGCGGCGCCGGCCCCGATCAGGCGCTCGATGCAGGCCGCCGTCTTGGCGGGCGCGTCGTAGAGCTCGTAGTAGGCCTTGTTGCACACTGTGGTGCGGACCTGCGCGATCTCGAATATGTCCTTGACCGCCACGCGCCAGCCCGCCAGCGGGAGCCGGTCGCTCTTGGGAGAGGCCAGGCGGGACGGCACGGCGATCTTGAGCGTCTCGATGGAGCAGCCCGCGATCCTGACCTCCTCGAATGTTCTATTTTTTGGGGGTGATAGGAGCAGACTGCTGTCAGCTGCTTGCTTGTGGCCCAAGTCACGTCCAGTGAAAGGAGCAGGTTCTTGAGAAACCGATCTGTGTAGGATGATGAACAGCTACAATCTACATGGGCACGTACCTGTTCTCGGTTGTCCACAGGGAGTGGAGAAAGGCCCGGTGGGTGTCGTCGTAGAGCTTGTAAACCGGTGCAATGACGTTCCCGAGCACGACGTGCGGCCCCAGAGTCAGATTTTCGTAGTCTCCTTGGATGATGCGCTTCCAGCGCATTCCTTGGTTGGCGAGGAGCCGCTCAGCATCCTTTGAAAAGGAAAGCTTGGGCTTGGCTGAGACGAGAACCACGCCCTGCAGGAACTCCTGGGAAAAGACGTCGTCGTTGGCCTTGGCCAGGAAGTCCTCCAGCCATTTCGAGGTCACGTCCGATACGCCATCGTCCACACGAATCACGGTCAGGAGGCTAGGGGCTCCCTTGAGACCGATCGGGAGCTAGAGTCATCAGGTCGGGGCAACTAAACATTAGCGAACCGCCTAGCCTGGGGGTAGTTATTGGATGGCAGATGTCAGAGAGGGCCACCCACCTGATGAGTCGTGGATCCGGCACTATACAAGGCTCCGCCGACGTCGAAGGGCTCCACCAGCGACGGGGCCCGAGGTTTTGGCGGAATAGCCTTCGTCGCGACAATGCCCATGGTCGTGGAATTGCTGGGTGCGGAGCACGTAGGCCAGGTGGCTCAATGGCGGGATCTTGATAACCTTTGGTTTGCGTGGCGAGGGTTAGACTTGAGAACGGGTAAATGGGTAAATGGGAGACTGTGGAGGGCAGACACAGGCATGATGCACTAGGTACCTCCCTGGTGACCGCTGGTAGGGGGTTTTATGGCCAAAGCAACTATGCTATGCGTCTGTGTTGGTTTGGCTATGTGTGCAACCGACTCGTTGAACGGCGTATAGAGTACGCCGTTTTGTTGGCCCCTTTTCTGCGCCCTCTACACCGCACATTGTTCTGCCCAACACTAGAGGGCGTGCAGGCCTGGCGGCAATTGTAACAGCGCACTGCGTCGGCGCCTGCACCCAGCCGACCCGAACGCCATAGGCTAGACTGTTCGTATCCCTGAATTGATTCACAATACACATTGCACATTTGGAAAAAAGGAATATCGATAAAAACACATTACGTGTTGCAACAAGCCAGCCCTAATTCCCATAGATGTGCACCGTCTCTCCCTTCTTGAAGCCGTACGCCGTGGAAACGGCCGTGCCCCGCGACGGCGGCCAGTGCTGGAGCCATGGCTGAGCCCTCCCGTCCTCGCGGCGACGGGAACGGCCATGCTGTGGGACAGTGCCCCGTTCTTGCGCCTGCGTTGTATGAGTCGAGTTGTCGGCCCGGACAGCCGCGTCCGACGAGGCGGTTTTGTGCATGCCGGACATATTCATGTACCTAGGGTAGGACAGTTAAGTTGCGTGTCAGCACGTAAAAGGCCAAGCAGATCTGGCAAGGCTAGTCACGCGGGAGGGCTTGCTACCTTGTTTCGCTCGTTTGTGATACTGGTGCCTGGAGCCGTAGGCTTTGTACGTGGATGAGAGAAGGATGATACTGCCTCGTGTAGGGAAAACCCCGGAAGAAATTGGTCTGCGATGGCTTCTGGAGAAGATTAAAATGGGAGGTGTTTATATGCCAGGACATCGCTCGTAAACATGAGCGAGACTAGATATAGTATAGCTACCCCCTCAAACCTCGAAGAAGCGACGCTCTACATCAAAAGCCTTGCTTCAACTACCGAAGCCAGCTTACATTGGGCAAACTGCCGGTTAAAATACCGATCTCCAAAGTCATATGATACTCCGCTGCGATGCGGATAAAGACGGCTAAGGGGGGGGGGGGGG